TCTCGAAAAAACGTTCTGTTTGTGTACATTAAATACAGGATTCTTTTAAAATAAAAAACAGGGTTTACATATAAATTTTGTGAAAATGGTTTTTAACAAATCAGAGACTTGCGAAGGTTTGAACGCTTTTTCACTATTCTATTTCTTTTCTTAGATTTTTCAAGAGAACGATAATGGTTATATTAGGAAAAAGTTTCATTATTCGTTTGCGCAACTGTTTTAAAATTATAGGCGCGTCTGGAATTTAGTAATTTTATTTTATTAGGAAATATTTTAATGTCAGTGAACAAATTTCACAATAAATTTTGATAATTCGCATTGACCATGAGGCTGAGGTCGAGACAGTGAATTCATGAATTCAATGAGTTGAAATCGCAAAATCGTGAATTCATAAAATGTCCTTATCGGTCTTTCTTACAATTGGCAATACATCAAGAACGACAACTCTGCTGATCAGAGTTGAGAAAGATAACTCTGTTAAAAAGATCACAATAACATATTATAAATTTTATTACTTGTCATGACATATCCTTGACAAAACGACGTATATCCTTAAACTAATCTTTCACATTCTTTGCCAAATTTCTCTTCAAATTATTGTAATACGGTTTTACCCTTGGGTGAAAGTTTAATTAATTTTTAAATACTTTCTTTTACAATGGAACTTACCTCTGTAATTAGAAGTCTAAATGGAACGATTGTGTCAAACAGGCAGAACGCTAATAAATTTCTAATATAATGTAAAACTTTTAACAATGACTCGTACAGACATTTTTATCTAGCAACTTGGAGATATGTCCTTAAATCTAATATTTATTTGTTTAAGCCTTATTTAGCATTCTTTATAACAAGAAATCTTATTGTTGAAATATATAGAGAGATTTCAATAACAGACGCAAGTGGTTTGTTTGTTACACAATATATATAAAGGATTTCAAATGGCTAAGACAGGTAAAAGTTTTAATTTAATTTGATTTAACCGTATTCGAAATAATTTTCAATTGGAATTAACTGGAATATTTAACGATGATTTTTAGAAGACATTTTGCAACCGTATCGGGGTAAAATCTCTTTTAAATATGTATGTAAATTGTTACACAACAAAGGCATTTTAAAATGGTCACTAACGCAATCACTTGACCCTAACTGCTGTAGGTCCGAATCTCGCTAGGGACTGTGAAAAAGCTATCCAGCAGGCTTACGGCAGGTGGGTGGTGCCCGCTCGTACCTGTAATACTTGTAATGAAAATCGTAATTAATTATCCGCGTAGAAAGTACGCTTTTTGTTGCTATCTAGATTTAGAATACTTTTATGTTCATAATATCCAGAATTCGCTATAACCAGTTATGTACATACGGGTATATTATTATGCTACTGTTTCTATGAATACTAACATAATTGGTTATATTTTGGTGATTTGGTGCAAAACTGTTACAACTTATATAACATAAAGGAGTAACTAACAATAGTTTTGCACCTTTCTCCATCGTGACAGCACACGGATGCTGATATCACTAATTAAGTACATACGTAACGAGAACACCTGCTTATCGAGGACAATTAAGTCCTCGCTTTACTTTATTGAGACGCGCAATTTAGCCAGTGAGGCAAGAACTGAGCTATAGCCGTGTTCGCAAAAACACTCTTTTGATACATACAATGAAAGTCGACTACCACTCAAAAATGAAAGCTGCTTTGAAACCATGGTTTTCTAATATTATCATGTCATACAAGTAACATTTAGCAGTTCTGGTGTGCCTGGAAAACTTCAGTCAACTTCCGGTTTTCTTATTCAAATATGCCCAGAACGCGACCACTGCAAGTAAAGGTTAGAATTAACATTCTAAGCAAACGTCCATCTAATCACACAAAGTATTTCAATCTGGAAACTGAAACAGTGCTTTTTTCTATATGCACGTGTTTCAGAGTGCGAACGCCCTTCGATCACATGTCGTCACCTTAGTGCAAAAACTCAATAACGGCATATAGATGAAGAAGCAGATATTGAGTTCTTGCACTAAGGTGACGATGTGCTGTCCTTTTTCAATGGGGCAAAAAAGCTGTTATATGCATTAAAACATTTTTATCAACATATATTAAGATAATAAATTTTGATTGGAACAAAAACAAAAAAACAAAACAACAACAACCGAACAAACACAATAACTATAAAACCAAATTTGCTAAAAAGAATGTCAATGTTTGGTCTATAGTTACACGGACGCACATCAAAGAAGGCGAATGGTTGCCTCTTACCGCCGGGAACCTTTGGATTTTTATTTCACGAGAGAGCTACATGTATTCAGGGTGTGTATGAAAGTCCAACTTGTGGCTGAAATTTGAAAGTCGCAATATGACTTGTTTGACCAAATACCCGAAACTAAAAACTTTTAAATGAACGTGAAATGAAATCTCGTCTGATAATTAGATCTCCAATTTTATGGAAGTAAGGCTTCAATATCTATTCCATTTATCATCATTTATCATTAGACAGAGTTTTGGTGACTCACACAATTATCGAGTGGAGCTCTTTTTAATTCCTTGTTATATATGATATGTACTAGACAAAAAAGCTGAAAAATCTGGGCAGGTGTTGGATCAATGTCTGGCGTCGCAGTTTTAATAAATCCAGCGTAGAAAACAAACATTCTTTCTATCTACAATCAATAATGTCACAGCGGCTATATTAAATGAAAATTAGTTTCATATCTGTTACTCACGTAGGTCACAATAACTCTAGTGTGTATCAATAGTCTAACTAAATGACCATAACACCGGTTCTTTGAATAAAGAATCAAAGATATCGACCGCCAATGTTTATAAAGAGAAATTAATATTTGTTTCCTGAAAAGATTGTGCATGATTTTTTTGATTTTTTTATTTAATTAAAATAGGAAAAATGCAACTGATTCTTCTATTCATTTTGCATCAAAAAGTAAGGAAATTGTGTGGATAATCTGTTGGTACAGTAAAAACTCTGAAAACCGGACCCTCTAAAAACCGGAATCCTCTGAAAACCGGACCATTTTAAAAGTCCCGTATTTTCTCCCTATATGTTCATTGAAAAAAAATCCTCTGAATACCGGAACCTCTGAATTCCGAAAACCGGACGATTTTCTATGGTTGCTAATGCTAAACATGCATTAAAAATCCTCTGAAAACCGGACAGCAATTTAAAGTGTCAACTTTCTGTGTATTTTAATGTAGATCTAAACATAATCTCAACAGGTGACATGTTCAAATACCAGGTAATGGTCATTTCCTTTTATCTATGCAGGTGTGAAAACACTTGTCTGTGTATGTTAATTTCTTATTGTCAATTAAATTATAGCTCTTTCATCATATTTGTGTTTTATATTTGCTCTTCCCTGGTGATGTAGTTAATTTATGTCACAGATATAACAAACACAAGTGTAAGATTGAACATGTCTGACATCCAACCGATGCCAGACGTTTGAATCAGGTTAATTGAACATGTCTGACATCCAACCGATGCCAGACGTTTTAATCAGGTTAAACTAAAAACATTGAACTGTTAAACAAAATATAAAATTGTGACATTAAATTGGACAAAGCAAAGTCCCTCTTTCATCATATTTGTGTTTTTCCTGTAGATTCATGTAGATTTTAATTTTAAAAAATGTTTTTAATGTGTTATGATTTTTTTAATATAAAAGGTCTAAAAGAGTTCTGAAACTGTTTTTAAAATGATTCCTGTTTTGCTTTAAATTTTGATCATGGAGTTATCTTTGTTTTGATAACAATTATAGGCAAAAATAGTAATACTAAATAAATATTATTAATAACATATTTCAAAGCTAACGAAAAAGGTATTATGATATATTTCAGACAATGTGGTGTTTTAATTTCTGATTTTCTGAATTATATTCATGGATTTGCATAATAAAATTACTTAAGACATTTATTGCAAAAAGAACTTAAAATATTACTTAGACAAAAGGGTTGAAAAGTGAATACAAAATGATTGAACAAAGTTATTGTTCAAACACATCATTATTATCAATGAATGTATGAAACCTCTGAAAACCGGAATCCTCTGAAAACCGGACTTTTGGTCAAGTCCGCACAGGGTCCGGTTTTCAGAGTTTTTACTGTATATAATAAAGTAATGTCATAATGGGGCGTTTGTCAATCAGTCAAGATGGCGCATCAACTTCCGGTAGTTTTTTTTATGTAAAATAAGTTTTGGATCAATTCACGATTTTGTTTGATAGTGTGCACACATTCTCCTGTATGTGTTGAAATGGATACTTTAAGTTAGTACATGTAATAACGACAGTTTTGAGACATTATTTGATTTACTTTTTTGTTTACTTTTAAGACATATGTCCCATTGATAAGAATTTCATAAGAACTGAAGTTCTTAATTTGATGATGCCATATTAATTTAACATTATACACGTAGTTGCATTTTGTCGCAGAAGAATGGTTAACATATTTGTGGGTGTTGGTATGATGGAAAACATCGGCTATTTGCACTAATGCATGTGACTAGCATAGAAAATACATTTGTGTTAATTATGCACACTGTATTCAGAATAATCACATTAACTTTGACCGCAAATTTTTAGCTCATTTGGATAAGTTTCAGAACTACTTTTTCTGTACTTTTTTATTGTTGGATCTCGGAATGATATATGACATGCCTGATGCTCAAGTTCAAAGGATTAAATTGAAATGCAGGGGAGTTAAAACTGTCCAATTTAAATTGTTTATCGATATGCCATAAGAAAGACTGATTGAAGTATATGAAAGAATACCGGTTTCTTAGTAGGATATCAGTCAAGCTAACTATAGACAAGTGTGATGGACCTCGCAAATAGATGCTGTACATGAGGATAATCATAAGTACACTATCTTAAGGAGAAAAATTTCTTCTTTAATGAATAAATAAGATATTGTACTTCCTGTTTGTTTTATTTCAGATACTTATCTGTAATTTCATTAATTAAATTTTAATTATATGCTTTTATTTAAGGTACTGGGAGTGGGGAAGAAAAGACTTGCCCCGATGAAGGGCCAGAGAAAAACCTAACAGAGGCAAACGGGACTAGTAACTCGGATGGACTGCTGCAGACTGAATTAGCCGTAGATATTGATTGTCAGAATAACAACCAGGAGAAAGTAGTTGAAGAGATAGAAGAACCTGATGTTCAGTCTGATGTGGTACAGTCTGATGTGGTAACTAAAACAAGCGAGAAAAACAATTCCGTGATTGTCGAGACTTGCGTAGATGACGGTCAACCGGCAAATGAACTAGAACAACAAGATAAACCTGAAAGTGTTAATGGTACGAAAGTTGTAAACGATACTCCTGATTCTGACGTTGACGAAGTAATAAATAAAAGCGAAAATAATAAAGAGTGCAATAGTGTTACAGAGGAACAAATAATTGTAGATGATAGTGAAACTATTTTAAATGAGCATCATAAAGCTACGGAAGACATTGACGATAACTTTGTAACAGAAGAGGTAATTAAACCCAAGAAAACATCGTTGAGCACCTTTCTGTCGAAGTCGTATTTTGATGAGGAATCGATATTAAAGTTTGGTAGTGTAGACATTGCTGATGACGCTCATATACAATTAGAAATACTTCACGAGAAAACAAAAGGTAAATCTTGGGATGACGAGTTGAAAGAAACTGTTGAAACACATGCAAATGATATTCAAGTGGAAGTAGACAGTGATCTTGAATATATTGAAGAAAAACCTTTGGAGAAGAACCAGATTAATGACACTAACATAACTCCGCAACAACAAACAAAAGAAAACGACCCAGAAATAAATGAGCAAGAAGATGATGATATAAGATTGGATGATAAAACAGAAGTCAGACTCGATAAAAAAAATTTACAAGAAGATAATTTTCAGAATAATGAAACAGATAGTGAAGTAAATGCAAATGAAGTAATTGAAAAAACGATTGTAAAAGAGAAGAGAGTTGATGAACTTTGTGAAAACCTACATGTTAGTGAAACTGACAAAGACATTTTAACCGGTGTCTCAACAATATCAGGAGCTACTGGCAAACCTGAGCACAATAAAGATAAAATTAATGAAGAAGTTCAATTTGAAGCAGTGGCTCGTGATGATATAGACGGTAATAAAGAAGTCACAGATGAAAATAACGCGTCCGTGAATGGTGAAAGTAATTCTGAGTCGAAGGGTCATATAGATAACAGTGATTACGACGCCGACACAAGTGATTCTGAATCTGAAAATATCGAAAGGTTAGATAAAGTAAACAATGCTAATTCGAGCGATTCAGAAACTGAAAGAATTGAACGCACTAATGAACTAAAGGCGGCACTCCTATCGTGTCTTAAATACAAACGTGAAACATTTGAAAAGAGTGATAGCACGAATAGTGAAAAGGAAATGAGTGAGCAATTTGAATCTGTTAGAAGAGAAACTTTCGAATCATACACAAACAAAGACAATAGAAATGATCCAGAAATTGACATAAATGATGAAGATAAACAAGAACTATCAGAAAATCAAAATAGTGAATTAGATAGTAAAACAGAATATATTAGAATGCCGGAGACTCGAGACAATATGGACGGGTGTGTTTCACCGTCAATGATGTTCGCCTCTTGTAGATATAGATGGGAAAAGTCCATTTTAACACAGTCACCAAGCGTTGTATTTGTAACGCTTAATAACAAGGTACGTGTAAACTATTTCCTTTTTCATATTCCATGTCTTAAAAAAGAAAGAAAAAAAAAATGGAAATAATTCTTGGATGATTGGTAATGAATGTGCCACATGAACATTTTATACTTAGTATATTCCGCCCTCATTTTTTTTTACTTTTAAAAAGCGCCTGCAAATATTTGAAGATAAACATCATCGTGTGAGCAAGGGTTAACAAAAAGAGCAAATAATAAATTGTTAAAATAATGTAGGTATGTTTTATACATATTAAAAAGTCACTTCATTTTTTCAGGAGGTCGAGCCTATTAAGCTAGAATGGTCGGAATCATCGCGGTGCTTTTATTCCGAGGAGATAAAGATACCAGTAGGTGTATACATTGGTAATTTGGTGGTTGATGGTACATTCTATCCGGTAGAGGACATTGTTATGAAGCACTATACGTTTGAAGTGGATCTATATCTTAAAGACGGTAAGATGAAGAAAACTTGTTTCTAAAATGAGTGATGTTTTGTATGCTGTTTGTTAGTTAGTTTGTTTGTTTTGTTTTTGTCTTTTAAATATATGTTTTCTTATGAGTGAATGAGTTACCAACATCACTGTTAAAGAGCTAACAAGAATCTATGGTGTACATGTATCTGCACATGTGAAAATACTAGAATTTATATTATTTTTTAAAAATACGTTTACAACGATAAGATAAGTCGACAATTATTTTAAATAAATAACAAAGTAAAAGTACTCTACAGATAAGAAAGGGATCTGTGATAAGCTTTGGTTGGGACCTTCTCTTCTGCGCGTAGGTAGAATGTTTCACTCTTACGGGGAGTGTATTCACTGAGCTGCGAAGAGAGCGTATCTGGAGCCAGTTGTAACCGAATTTTTTAGGGAGGTAGATCTAGGTTCTGAAACAGAAAAATACTGATAGCATTATCTTAAATTATAAAGATCATAGTCTTTGACGTTTAGAAATATTCTTAGTAGATCCAGGTACGTATATTAACGTACCTGGTAGATCTTTTACAACATGTCAAAGATATCCTGTTACTTAACAGGACAATATTATTTAGACAAAGTTAGAAAGAAATTGATAAGAATTGTAAATTCATTCATTGTTACTAAAAAACTTATTCTTTTAAATACGGCTATTTTGAACGTGATGCGAATTTAAGAATAAGTAGATCCTAATACAAATATGACTTTAAATAATTCCCCGCGAGTTTACTAAATTTAAACTTTATGTCATAGTCGTGTTAATTTTACGGTAACGCCGTAAAAATTGCCGACAAAGTCTTAACATGTTTTTAGTGTCAAGATTCGTAAATAAGTAAGTAATTTTACTACGGTATCATGAATTTAAGCATAAACAATCAAAATGCTACAATTGTTGTAACTCCTGCAAGAATTTAAACTTGTACAGAATAGAAAATTAAGATACAAGTGGTAGTCAAGTTTTTGTTTACATCGAAACGGTGATGTGGATAAAAGTATCCCGATAAATATACCCCATGAAATTAAAAGTATTATTGGTGAAATACATTTGATGTAATGTTTGAATATCAATTTTGTAGAATTTATTGATTGTTTATATCAAACAACAATATATGATTGATTGTATTTCGCAACATATTTAAAAATATCTATTCAAAACTCTAAAAAGCAATTAACAAATTGATTTAGTTATTGAATCAATATATAGATTATAAGTTTTTTTATCTTAATTACCACAATGTTATAGATGATAACGAAAGCGAGATAAAAGTTATAAATATTTGATTGTCACTAACTTGTGTTCAATTACATGTGTTGAATGATGGACAATTTATTCTCCATTGATTGTATCTAAATTTAGCCAGTTGTATATTGCATTATCAATTAAAACAATAACTGGGTTAGTTACAGCTAGATGATAGGAGCATGGGTTTAATTGAGAAAAAAAGAAAATTTAAATAATGCTTTAGTTGAAAAAGTTTATCAGGTTATATTGATTATGTAGAGTTCACTTAGCTAACTTCTGTCATATATGAGGTACATGTATGGTGGTAGTGACCCAAAGTTGAACCCATTATCTCTAATTTGAGGAGCTGACTTATTGGCTACTATAGGCTTTAACTCTGTTTATACTTTTGTTCTACTTTTGTAATTGTTTAGAAATTGATTTTTGATGTTACACATTATGAAAACGTATTTTTTTGCGAGTACTCAGTAGTAAATTCATTTGTATGTGAGTACTAACTGAGTAGTAAATTCATGCATAACATTGATGTGTTCACTCCTTTATGCATATATTTCAAGCCAAAGACATTTAATTGTTGTATTGTCAGCTTTAACATATTTGCTCTAGTTTGATTGGATGAAAGCTTAATGCCCATTTCATTTTGAATCACTCTCGAGTCCACTTCTTGGATCTTACCAGTACTGGTATCATATTAGGATACATTGTTGTGACTCATGTAGGTCTCAAACCAATGTTTCCTGGGTTGTCTGTGTGTATTTTAGGCTTAATGAGGGTCCATTCTCCCTTTGTGGCACTTAGACTACGGACCCCAATCTTAGGTTAAGAGTCAGACACCTTAACACCTAGGTCACCTTTTAAGAACATTTCTGAATTGGCAATGTCTTTGTAAAATGGATCAAACTTTTTATGCCTTATTAATTAAGCTACATATGAGTGTTAATAAGTTTGAATATTAGGGATATAACATTATACTTTAAATTGCAAGTGATATTTGAGATTTTAAAAATTACTTGTTTCATCTTTATTAAAATCTATAATTATAAATAGTTCTAACATTTTAAGCTGTCTGTATAATTGTTACCAGATTTTTACGCATGATTATGTAAACATTACAACTGAACTTTCAAAGGGGTTTTTAATTGACTGATGCAGTGCGCTTAAACACAATTTATCTTGCTGCAATAGAAATTAAGCAATTTCTGTAAGTGGATATTGAGTGCCTGTCACCATTGTTCAATATGGCCCACAGTAATAGCTTGTACAGATTGATTAATTCTAGTTTAGCTCGCACTTGTTTCTAAGGAAAAAATGAAACAAATAATAAAAAGAACAAGACCATTTTCTTGCTCAGTGAGTTTAATTGCCACAAAGTAATTAATGTGCGATACTTGAACTAATTTATTTCTCTTTGGGCTTTTTTCTTATAGTAAAATGGTTTGCTAGTTTTTGCTATGGATACTCTACCGTTTAATTGACATTTTGTATAGTGCCGTTGATTGGTTTGCTATTTTATGGACGGAGTAATTGAAATAATACCTTTTATATTCACATGCTGGTCTCGATATCGATCATTTCCTCCTTAGATTTCTAAGAAATGGCACTTTTAAGTTCTTTGTAACATTTTCTTTAGGATATGGAATTGATTAACGACAATTTTGCTCACTTAGTGGGACAGTTTACTACAATGGATTTATTTTTAAAGGATAATTAAAACTTATAACATGATTTTAAAATGACATTTATTTAAATTGTATAAATCATAAAAAATGAATTTCACACCTTTGGAAGTTGGAAGAAAGTTTAACTTTTCTGATGTTGTGGAGAATTTATGTGCAGGAATTAGGGAGAAGAAAAAACAGTCAAAACCTGTTGTGAATGAGACTCATGATAAACAAGATGGGGCTGCGAGGCCAGGCCCCAGTTTAAGGATATATAAAACTAGAGATAAGTGGATTAAATTGACAACACAGTTACCTCAAGCTGTGTTCACCTGTATGCAAGGTAAAGAAAGTTATTGGTGACAATAGCAATCCTATATGCTGCAACCTATGTGATTACCTTTTGCCATTGATATAGTCTCGGGCTCAGACCAGTCTGCACAACAGTGCAGTCTGTTAAACCAGACTTTATACTGTTGGTAGCTCATTTTTTTGTACATTTTTGTATCTGATTTTGAAAATCCCTTTGTTCAAAATTGATTTATTTGAAATAAATTTTAAGTCCCCGGCAATTAAAATAATCAAGGTTTGACTGTGTATTACTTTGAAATTCCTTAAACTTTGTTGGCAGGGCAAATCTATTACACAAATTTAGCAGAATAAAGGTTAATTAATATTAATATATAAAAATGTTTGAAAACATGACTGTATTTTCTATTGACTTATATTTCATCTTTTTTCATCTTTCTAAATGTATAGATTATATGTATTTATTATCTCGAATCAAAATGTTGGGGCATCTGTGGCTGAGTGGTTAAGGTATTTGACTTCAAACCACTTGCCCCTCACCTCTGTGAGTTTAAATCCTGATAGGATTACTAGCTAAAACGGATTACTAGCTGAAAAGTTATTTCTAGTTATAATGTTTAAATTTATCTAGGAATTGGATCTTAATTTTGAGAGCATGGTATATAATACTTATTATTGCATGTTAGGAGCAGTAGTCCAGTGGTAGGACGTGCGCTTAGGGATCGAGAGGTCCCGGGTTCGAACCCCACCAAGGGCACTGCTAATTTCCTTGAGCAAGAAATTTACCTGCGATTGCTTCACTTCACCCAGGTGTAAATGGGTACCTGCGAGGGTGGTATAATTCCGTTGCGCCAAGTGTCGGCTGCACTAAGCGGAGTTAAAAGACTCCCCAGGGAGATTGATAGATAGATACTAGTAGCCCGATGACCAGGGGTAATAGCTGTAAAGTCGGTGAACGTGCGTAAGCATGAAACTTAGACTATAAAATGCAATTACTTACTTTACTTTACTTATACAGTATTAATACAATCACAATTTAAACACATTGTTCAGTGCCTTCAGGATACATGTATAACAAGTACTTGTACTGTTCAATGCCCGCTAATTTTAGATACTGCAACAAACAAGTAAATATCAAACTTCAAGGTTTATGAGAGAGTTTCAAGGGGCAATGTGGCATGAAATACATTACAAATCAAACTTAACTAATTTGATGTTAGTGCACACTTATCTCAATTTATTTGATGTTAGTGTACACTTACATCAATTTATTTGATGTAAGTGCACACTTATGTTAATTAATTTGATGTTAGTGCACACTTACCTCCATTTTTACTATATGTGCATACTTTTTCAATCACCATGATATAAGTGAAGACTTACCTCAATTACTGTTATATCATGGCACACTTACCACATTTACTATGAACAAAACCTTGGACAACTATTGTAAAAAAAGTAAAGTATAAAACTGAATAATATTATTTGACCCTAAAACGCACATAAGAACTAACTAAAATTAAATTTAGTGCACCTGAGATTTCAATCAATAAGTCACTGAGACATTTTTTTATAGTAATAGAATAATCCTACCTAATCTGTGTTTAGATAGATTACATATTAATATTGGATTTACGTCATGCTTATTTGATTTAAAACAAGGAAACATTAAACAAATTAATCTTTCCTAAGTTTATAGTAGAATAGGTAAGTTGGAATATATATTCTTATCTTTAATGCATGATCCACCAGTGCAAATTAATCCAGATTAATAAAATTAACCACTACTCTAGACTTGTTTGACATTATTAGATCAACCTGTAGTTTGGACTTTTTCCTGTTTAAAGCAAGGTCAGGCAGACACATTCTATTGGTTTTTTGTTTTTTTGTTGTCAAAGTGTGATCAATGCTGATATACTTTCTGAAAGGTGTATAAATTTATGTAGGTTTTCCCCTTTGATTGTAAAAAGAAAATCTTTACGACCATGTTTGTTCACGGGTTTTCACTCGGTGAAGGAAACGTGAAATACACTTAATGTATGTTTATCCATGTTTAATAGTGATATTGATTAAGGTATCTGAAATTTATTCCAAACCAGGAGATTTAACATTGGGATCTTAAAGTGACTTGATGTTTATATACAAAGATTGGATTATTTATCAGTAGGTAGTTACATATTTTTCCTACACACTTGTGCTATATATATGTACTGAATTAAATGTTTTTTGAAATTATGAGTTTATAATAAAATTATATTCAAATAACATGAATGATTGTTGACTTTGAGTTAAGTCTACTGTAGGGTTGCTATGTGAGAAAGTACTTGTTATTTTATTGCAAATTGTAAAATTTCTTGAAAAAAGATCAGTTTTACTGATATAATTATGATGTTTTAAAACTAATATCAAAAAAATTGCTAAAGTTGCCTTACATACAAGAATAAACTTGTAATTTAAAATTAAAAATTAAGCTACATGATTGCTAAGTGAAGCATGTTATTTCTAGTGAAGCACATTCTGTAGGCTGATAACCTTCCAAATTGTCATCAATGATAGATTGTGGATGAACTATTTCAAAATTTAAATTGGATCAAACCATTAGGACTAGTAATTCAGCAGGCTCATGGTTATATGTGACTTATATATGTGACTTATAATGATTCTTGTATAATTATGTGTCGTCAAAAGACTGATAAATATCATATGTAACTTGTAATGATTCTTTCTTTTTTTTGAAAGGCTGATAAATAGAAATTTCACTATGTCAACAGGCAGTCTTAGGTTTTCATTATGCATTATAAGTACCTACAAAAGATTTTTTTAAAGTACATGTACCAGTTTTTTATTATTGTTTGAGTAACATTGCAAATATTTGAACACACTATTTACCATTATGGCAGGCCTGTATATACATTTGTATATCAATAGAATATAGTTAGAACTGTGTGATAAGAAAAGAGTATTAGACCATTCTTACCAGAATATACTTGTAGTTTGATCAGCCTGACTAGAATATTGTAAGACTATTCTGACCAGAATATCATAAGACCTGAGCCTGACCAAAATATTGTAAGACAAGTCTGACCAGATTTAATATTGAAAGACCAGTTTGGCTAAAATAATGTGAGACCAGTCTGATGAGAATATTGTTTGGTCAGCCTGACCGAAATATTGTAAGATGGGTCTGATCAGAATATAGTAAGGCCAGTCTGACTGGTATTTAAGATAGACCAGTCTAACAAGAACCGAGTCGGACAAGCCTGCTAGTATTGTTAATTTAACTATTTACATTTTGTCACATGTGACCAAAAGCATTACAATTGATCTCACACTTTAAGAATTTTGATATCAAAATCCTTTTAAATAACAAAATGGACATTCCAAATATCACAGCAGGAAAAGTCATTCACACAAATTTGGCTGAATTAAGGTTAAGCCATTTTTATCAATTTCTTAAGTACATGCTTTTAAAGACATGTTTAAACCTGTTGATGGTATTGGAGGGGTTTTTATTATAATTATTAACCAACTATACCTGTATGTACAATTATCTACAGCCCACTATCAGTGCACACAACAAAACTTTTGAAAACAATTTTAAACACTGCCGATAACTAAGAGATAAAAATGCAAATACGTATAAACATTCTTTGATACAACTGTTATAATGGACGAACATTCTTTTCGGTTCAACTGTTATAATGGGAGATTGTTTATTTGCTTGATTGATTTGTAAACTTATTGATCAATCTTTTTTTTTTTTTATTGTACAGCTTTACAGAACTTCTTTTTTGAAATTGATTTAAAGATGTACAATTAATATTTAAGATCAGTTATTTCAGCATAAATTTAAAACCTAATGATAAGTATATATATTTCAATGACAAGCAGATTTTGTACAAAGATTATACAAAAATCAGACATTAGTTTAATTAAGATTAAAAGGACAATAAAATTTCACTGTTGATTAAATTAAAAAAAATTTTTTTTGTATGATATAGCTTTATACCCTTTAATAATTTGCTCTGAAAATGTTCCTTTTAATTTCTAAATTTCTAAACAAGGTCCTATATTTGCCTGATATGAGGTTTTCACTTTAAGCTCAATCAACTTGCTTTTAATTTTATCTGTTTGAACCAGATAGCTTTAAACGATTAAAAAGAACTTATAATATTTTGTTAAATTGATATTTAGTATTTTGATGTTTAAATCCCTGAAATTTAAACAATGGACAGTTTCAAATTAAAAACAGGACATATGTCACAAGTTGAAAAAGTGTTCAGCCTTACTGGGACTCAAACCCAGAACCTTGACAATAAGCTCTATACTGTGACACCAGTCTGCTGAGCAAATGCAGCATTACAAAGTATAAACCTTACCATGCAAATAATCCATCTTTAAATCTGGACAAAACCGGTTATCATTTTTTAGAGAAAATTTTAGAATATATACATGCACTTACTGAATAGCATACAGTGCAGACCATAATCTGACCACACAGATGTACAAGCTGATCTTGGTCTGTACTGGTTGCATGGGTAAAATCAGTTGCCCCCATTTGTCTAAGACTTAAAGGTTAAAGTTCAATATAGCTTTATCCCTAGTCAATTTATTTTTCTTTACAAAATTGATGAATTTTACAAACAAACAATACCTTGTATTATTATAGCAAACACATTCTGTATGTACCATAATAAATACCTTTACATCTGTATTTTAAGCCATTGATGCATTGTTTTCTGTTTGTAAACTACCTTGGCACATTTTCATAAAAATTCTTTTGTTTATCTAGACAACAACTACAGGTACTATTAAAACGAAGTTTGACCTTAAATGAATACAATATCTTAAAACAACTTGACTCTTTAGCCACAATTTTGAGTCCTTAGACTCCTTGGATACAGCTCTTAGTGCTCTGAGTTTTTATTTCAAATTTAAACTGTGCATTAAATAATAAAAAAATAGCTATGAAAAAAGTTATATTTGCTGGATTGTCATATCGTAAGACTTATCTTTTTATACTATATTATATTATAGTTTCTTTATACATGTATGTTGTCTTGTTATTCAGTAGGTTATTATTGCAATACAAGTGTTGTCAATTGCTTTAACTAGTTATGTAGGTTGTAATGTAACAGTATAGTCTATGATCAGATTGCAATGGTGTTCATGCAACTATGCGTAGATTTATCTTGGTGGCAAATTAGAAACACTGTTACACTTTTGAATGCTTGACACACATTTCTCCAGTACATTCATAAGGTCTTGTGAGATAGGAAAGATAATTATTCTATTAGGCATTTTGCAGTGCAGATGCTTTGTGATTAAATATATTTTATTTTATATTTATTGGGATGAAAGTGTGTTTTATTACTGTCTAGCAACTACTATAAAGTAATCAACTACATGTATTTCTTTTATTTCTAGATATCCTAGAGGATGAAGGGCAAAGTTCTGGCGTAGTGAAGGCTGAGGAATTTATCAAACAGAAACAACAGGGCAGCAGCCAGGAACCAGAAAAACTTAATAGAGATTTTACTTATACACCTAACAGGGCCTCTGGTTACACATATTCTTCAGCCAGGTCCAATATGGATGCAGAGACAACTGACCAAGCTATACCAGAAGGGAGTATTAATGCAACAAGCAAATACCAGGAACTTTTACGATCACAGATGACTCAAAATAAAGGTGCTTTAAATGATAATGACTTAGACTCTGGTGTGCCTTCAAAGACAGACTTTACGGATCTTGGTGGCCGACGTACACCTGTGGGAGAGGATGGTGATAAACAATATCAGGACGGTGACACTGCATCCCAGAAATCATTAGGAAGGGAAGATAATTTAAGTAACGGCACCAATGGTCAAACTGTTACTAAATATAACACAACTTTAGATGATTTTTTCGAACAAAGGAATCATCATTCAAATGGATCAATACAGAATGGATTCGATGCTGGGGAGAGAACTACTCCACCCGCAGTCATTGATGATGTTTTAGGAAATGGGCATTCAAGAACACCAATTTATTCAACAGAGAGCCCTGTGTATTCTAAGCACAGTTCTGCTCATAGCTCAGCCCGGCAGACTCCCACAGCAACAGAAGCATTTGAACAAGGACGACCAGAGTCAGTTGGTTCTACACATTCAGCAAACTCATTGAGCAAGCAAGTGCTTGACGACCTTGTAAGTGACGCATTGGGCCGACCAAGAGCTAGTAGATCCTTTCCTTCCCCTGAACCAACAAGGGAAGGTTCTAGACCATCCTCAACCCCTACACGACCTGAATCAGTGGGTTCTGCTCACTCTGAGAATTCGTTGAGCAGACGGGCAATTAATGACATTATTGAAGACAGTTTAAATATAACAAAAACTCCACCCCCGTCTAGGGAGAGTTCACTTCATGGTTCAAGGCCACGGACTCCTCCGTCACAAGAGCAGATTGATGATGTATTGAACCCTGCAGATAGGCATTCTCCTATACGACGTGAATTTTTAGCTGGCTCCCCTAGTTTATCGAATCATTCAGGAAAAAGTTCAAAGTCAAGTCATAGTTCTGCTCATAGTTCTGCTCAGAATTCAGCTCATAGCTCACAACGGCAGACGCCACAAAGAGACATCATTTCCAATTCTTTAAAAGCAAGTCAAGAAAAGTTATATTCTGGACTTGGTTCAGGTAGTAATGCTAGTTCACGCCCACAGAGTCTCACAAGTGAACAAGAACTTACTCAATACTATGAAAACTTGGCTGACACTAAGAGCGGAAGTAATACAGATATTTTAGGAAGTGCTGGGCCACGCACAGGAAGTGCGGCCAGTCTCCCTGCTATTGGTAGTCAACAAAGATACACCCCAGACAAAAGAAGTATGACACCAGATAACCATATTAGAGTTCCGGTAGTAGGTTCCATTAACAAACCCTCATTGTTGCCAAGCAGGACGCCGCCTCGGACCCCCATATCTAATGCAAGCAGCAGAACTGTTACCCCCATGAATGCTGAGACGGACAATGAGTTAAGATATAGAGAGGTTATTTCTTTTATTATTATACCAACTTTACCCTTGCCATGCTAAATTTCTGAAATAGACTTGACCATCTTTCAATCTGGACTAAACCATTAACCATTTTTAGGGAAAATTCCAAAATATATATTGACTTAACAGTTAAAAGTGCAGACCATGATCAGACAGTACAGATGTGCTGGCTGATTTTAGTCGACACTAGTCGTAGGGTAAATTTTGTTGCCGCTTGCAGGCAAAGAGTTATACACCATCTTTCATAAAATTATATTGTAGAAATCATATTAGTCATTCAAAAGAGTCATTATCTTTTGTAACATTGAATTTGCTAGGAAAAGCTTAAAATTCAAATGAAACAGAATTTTTTAATTCTGTCAATACCAAGCTGGTCTATTCAGTTTAATTACTACTTCTAAGGTTCAACGAGGTCATGAAAATTCATTTTAAATTAAGAAATACTACAATTTATAAGGCATAAATTATCAAAGATAATTGTGAGTGTCTGACAACGTCAGTTGTATAAATTGGGATATTCAATAAGACACCAAAAATTGCTGTCATTAATTTTTTTTTTTGGCAAGTTTGATAAATTTAAATAAATTAATCAAACTTCTATTCATCTAATGATCTGACTAACAACTTGAAGTACTTTACAACTAGATGTATACATTTTAATGGACTTATATTATTTGATTGCATGAAATTACGAATCAAATGGAAATCAATTAAAGGTAGGAATTAATCAAACAAATTGCTCATTTTTCAAACTGACTTGATTGAAATCAAACTATGAATGAGTTCTTTCATTAGATTTTTACTTTTTTTGTGGAGGAAGAAATAAAAAAGTGTTTTATTTATTTGAGGCTTAATTCTGTAAAGGCTTATTTGGAGAAAATGATTAAATATTATTTTATAATGGTAATTTAAAAATTCTTCCTTTTCATGAAATAACCTTTTTTATGAAATAGATTTGTCAAAATTAACTTTAAAATTATTTATTTGTAAAGTAAGATCCAATAAAAATTCCTCTTATCATGGGTAGAATTTTACAAGGTTTAAACCTTAGATTACTGGAACGGAAAGCTTAATAGCCCTTGCCACCAGTATAGAGCCAGACCAGCCTGCATGCACATCCATGCTGGCATGCTTGACCAGACTCGATACTGCAGAGACTCGATACTGCTGGCTGACCAACTGTCTTTTGTTTGTTTATCTAAAACTGATAATGATGATAATGGATAATAGTTCACTACAAGTTCAATTTTAGAAATTCAGATAGAATCTGAAAAGGGTTATCAAGTAAACACTTATTGAATACTACACGAAAACTTTTATGACCCTAACTAATTTTATAGACCATAATATACTTATAATTCATATATGACCCAAAGTAATCCTATAGACCATAATATACTTGTAATTAATATAAACCCGACATTGTTACATATAAGGTTACAAAGTTTTGGGCATTGTTTCAGTATCAAGTATAAATCTATAAATCAATCCTGAGTACAAAGAGGAACTACATTGTATAAAAATCTTTAAGAGTTTACTACTCCAAAACTTGATCTATTTATAATGTTTTTTTCTTGCTTGCATTTTAAATTATTTTGTTTAATATTCACTATTTCAATAAAATATTATTTATGAATGACAATACATTGTTAAGTTTTAGCCTGCTGGCGGCTGCAGAATCTATCCTTGCTATCAGTGCCTGCCCATCTGTGCCATCTGCACTGTTAGCTGCATTTTCAGTCAGTACATATTTTGTAATTTTCTCTAAATATGGTGAATAGTCATATCCAGTTTGGGAGATGGACAAATCCATTTAACATATTTAGCAGTAGGCCATCATATTAGTCCTCACAAGTTTTTTTCTGTCAATACTGTGACTTGTTATTCAAAAATTCAAAAAGACAACTTTCATTGGCAAACTTAGTGCATTAGTCATTTGCTTTTTCTTGCATTCTTCTTAATTTGACCCATTTTCTTTGGTCCATTTGTGCCTACTTGCATTGTCCTTTCTTTGACCTACTCACATATAGGCCTTCTTACATTGTTATAATTTTATTGACCTACTTGCACTGACCTTTTGTGCATTGGCATTGACTTGACATACCTTCATTGCCTTTCCTGTGTAAACAGTTACTTACATTTACCTTGTATAGATCTTGCATAGACCTTTATATGTTGACCGTTTTTCATAGACCTAATAGTATTGAAAATGTATGAACTATTGTGCAAGAAGATTATCTTTTATTAATCTGGTAGTCTTAGCTTATTTTCATTGACTTTGATAAAGTCTTATGTTGTAAACTTATGCTTGGATTTTTAAGTTCGGCTTTTTTTAACATACTAGGATTCAATTTTAACTAGGCATTAAGTAATCAAATGATTGTTAAAAATATTTGTAAAAAATATTGTAGCATACAGTATTTCAGCTGAGTTCTTAAAGTTAATTTTGTTCATTACAGCAAGTCAAGGATTTAGAGAGTACAATTTCGAACCTTCGCACATTATTAAGTTCAAGAGAAAATGAAGTGGCAGAGCTGAAAGATCAATTTTCAGAAGTACGGAAAATCAATGACAAATTGCAAGGTGATCTTGACAGACACAGAGCAAGGGCTTCACCAGGGCCGCAGATTGCGGAGGTATAAAGTTTTGTATACTTTACTATGGATTACTTAGAAGATATTTCACGTATTTGAAAAGGATTTGTTTTATTTGTTTTCCACATAATTATGATGTTTTTAGTACTCTGATATATTAGGTTTTTATAAATCATGTTTGTTTCATTCTAAAATTGTTATTTACAATAGCATAAGCAAAATAATGTTTTAAAGGCTGCTTTTAGCTAAACTTGCATTATATTTTCATTATATACTGATAACACGAATGGCACAAATCAGCCACAATAATTAAGGTTACGTTTTATGGGTTTTTTTTATGACATTTTGTTTAGAACTTAAGAAGCAAATTTGAATTTTGACAAAGAATATAATTTTCATTTTTTTCTAAACTTGGCAAAAGTAGTATAATAACCTCACTGAATATAATTTTAATTTTGATCTAATTGTTTTGTTTGAAACAGCTGGAGAGGAAAGTACATGAAGCTTGTAGTGAAAGAGATAGTCTAAATATGGAGGTGTTACGCTTAAAGGAGGAACTGAAACAGAAGTCCGAGCCTGGACTCAACAGCTACGATCCCAACAGTCCCTCAGCATTACAGAGAAAAATAGGTACAAACATTGGCTTTATATACAGTAAAATCCCTTTTGAATGAACATTTTTGGTTTGTAATTTTAAAAAATGTTGAAAATATTGTTTTGACTCAAATTTGATTCCTTCTGAATTATGAACAAGAAGCTAGAAAGAAAATTGACAATTAATGCAAAAGCCTAGTAACTTATTGAACATCACAACCAGATTATGAAATGGATGCTTAAGTATGATCTTGATCATTGTTTTTAGTATAAATTACAAAACAAAGTTGTTCTAAAGTTTCTATCTTACCTTGAGAATGTAATGTCATTTATTCTTGCATATCAGACAGTGCTAGAAAAACCTGTCTATGTTTTAAATGATGTCATTCGTATGCGCCTTATATGAATGAATTGCATTCTTAATGTGACATTATTGTGCCATTTTGAATGAAGATGTAAATTCATACACTGCTATAAGAAAAAAGTAATATATAAAAATATTAGTTTTTGTCACTTGTTTTCGAAGTATCAGTAATTGTAATATACAAGAAAAAGAATCAAACACCAGCTGTCAGCACAGACAGGAATATCTAGCTCTTGGGTAACTGTTTAGCAGAAACTTGGTAGAGCCTTGTTATTGCTGTAAACATTTACCCTCGAGCTAGATATTCCCGTCTGTACCTGCAGCCAGTGTAAGATCCTTATATAATTGTCTAGAAAATAAATTACAAAAATTGAAAATTGCTATTTCATGTGTTGTAGATGAATTAAACAGTCAGATTCAAGACTTGATGGAAGCTCACGACGCAGCATCGGAGGAAATTCACGCGGCTGAGAGAAAGGTGAAAGAACTGGCCGGAGAGAACGAGACATTACGTGTCACTCAGTCAGACAGACTGAGAGATATAGAGGACGAAAATAGACATCTTAAATTAGAGGTAATAATTTAATGTATTCTTGCATATCAGGCAGGTTTATTTACACTGGTGCTAGAAAATCCTTTCTTGCATATCAGACAGGATTATTTACACCGGTGCTAGAAAAACCTTTCTTGCCTATCAGAGTTTACACCAGTACTAGAAAAACCTTTTGTACACCCCCAATATAAGACAAGTTGTGTGCTTAAAATGATGTCATTTCCATGCGCCTTTTATGAACGAATGGCGTCATTTCCATGCGCCTTTAATGAGCGAATGGCGTTTTCTTAAGATGATGTCATTTTGCCATTACGAATGAAGTTGTAAATTAACACAATAAATACTTTAAGAAAAAAGTGTGAACTGAAAGTATTAGTTTTTGTAATTTCTTTTCGAAATATCATTTATTAATATGTAATATGCAAGAAAAAGAATTAAAACACCAGTCATTGTCACTGTCAGGAATATCTAGCTGCTTACGGCAGTTAACAAAGTTTTTAAGTCTTTCACACTATTATAAAGCTGGGCCAGCCTGCACATTCCTATAGTACCCGGCCAGCCTGAACCAGGCTCTACTAACTTCAAATTTTCATCTTGATATCCTATGAATGATAATGGACAATTCCAAAACTGGAATTTAAGAAATTCTACCCTCAGCAGGTTAAGAGTTAAAGTTGGGTAAACAATAATTATTGTTTTAATAGTCGGTTTCATATATTCATACAGAATGGTAAGGGCAGAAAATTTAAAATGCCTTTACAACTTAACAATATTTGTACAGTGTGTGATGAAGCTTATTAATTAAAGGGAAACATGTTTTAATAAATTGTGTTGGTTTTTGATATATTTACCCTATACACAGTGTGTGATTCAAATTCCAACATGATAACTGACTGATAATATTGTTATTGATGATGATAATTATAATAATGGTAATAACAATGCTATTTAATTATCAATAACAATGCTATTTAATTATCAATAATAACACTATTTAATTAACTGTTAATTATCAGGTAGCTTTAGAATTACATAAACTTTTGATAACTAAAATAAAGTTTTCATCCCTCTTTTTTCAGCTGCAGAGATTAAAAGAAGGTCACGTAGGTCATAGCGACGCGACAGATTACAGATATAAGATAGAACTACAGCAAGTGAAGGAAGATAATCGGAACCTAAGGGAGAGAAATTATCAGTTACATGATGATAATATAAGAGCCAAGGAAGAGTTATCTGAACTTAGGAAAACTATAGAATTCATGGATAAGAAAGTGCAAAAGAAAGAGGATAGAGGTCGCCAGTTTGATGCGTATGAAAGAAGTGGTGCGTAAAATTTTTCGTTGATAAATCGTACAGGCATTGTTTGCATCTGATCACCATAAGCATTGGGTAGAAATTTGTATGAATATGATTTTTATGGAGAAAATATAGGGCTACAGAGGAATTTTATTTGACATAATCTTTGTTTAAATTCTTTTAGACTTTATATTGGATGCTTTGTATTAGATTTCATTTCAATTTTTTGTTGATTTTATCATTAATTAAGAAGTTAAATAAGTGTCTGGGGACCATTTTACTAACATTTCATAATTTTTTGTAACTTTACACTTTAACACATTTAAACTTGCAAATGTTATTGTATGTTGTTAAAATGGTCCCAAAAAGTTTTTGTTGTATTGTGTCAGAAATATGGCAAAGTTTGTACTTAATATGTGTCGAGTCAAGAATTGTACATGTACCTTCTGTGAAAAAAAAAGTATTTAAAAAATTCATTGAGATTGGCATTAAACCATATTTGATGTTAAGATATGTACTGACTGAATAGCAAACAGTGCAGACAATCATCATCAGATCAGATAGCACAGATGTGTGGCAGTGTCACATCACCAGGTCTTGGTCTGCACTAGATCGCATGGGTCGATTCAGTCACTTCATGCAAACTGGTGGTGTGGTGCTGGTAGTTTTCACTTCAGATAATGGCAGTAAGCCACATTGAATTTACCAAAGCAGAGTTAAGCCATCCAAGAATCGAACCCTGTTCGGCTGATTCACAGTCCAACGCTCCTCCTATTGAGCTAACCAGACTGTTTCTTCAGGCAAACTGAAAATTGAACAGTGTTTATATCTACTTTTAGCCACAGATACAGATAGATTTATGAAATCTAGTTACCAGAGTGACCTCAGCTACACCAGGTTATCCGATCCTGTACCAGACAGAAGGACCGACAGGGAGAGGGAGAGTTATTCCTTCTCAAGGTCAAATTATGACCTTCAGAGGACGGAACCATTGAGAGATGATAGGGAGTTTAAAGAGGAAAGATTTACCAAATCTGATGCAAACAGGTTATTTTTTGAAATTCTGTAGTATGATTATGCCCCCATTTTGAAAAAAAGGGGGTATATTGCTTTGCACTTGTCGGTCCGTCGGTCCGTAGACCAAATGGTTTCCGAGTGATAACTAAAGAACCCTTAGGCCTAGGAACTTCAAACTTGGTATGGTGATTGGTCATGACCAGTAGATGACCCCTATTGATTTTGGGGTCAAGGGGTCAAAGGTCAAGGTCACTTTGACCTTGAAAGCAAAAACGGTATCCGATCAATAACTAAAGAACCTTAAGGCCTAGGAACTTCAAACTTGGTATGGTGATTGGTCATGACCAGTAGATGACCCCTATTGATTTTGGGGTCAAGGGGTCAAAGGTCAAGGTCACATTGACCTTGAAAGCAAAAACGGTTTCCGATCAATAACTAAAGAACCTTAAGGCCTAGGAACTTCAAACTTGGTATGGTGATTGGTCATGACCAGTAGATGACCCCTATTGATTTTGGAGTCAAGGGGTCAAAGGTCAAGGTCACATTGACCTTGAAAGCAAAAATAGTTTCCGATCAATAACTAAAGAACCTTAAGGCCTAGGAATTTCAAACTTGGTATGGTGATTAGTCATGACCAGTAGATGACCCTATTGATTTTGGGGTCAAGGGGTCAAAGGTCAAGGTCACATTGACCTTAAAAGCAAAAACGGTTTCCGATCAATAACTAAAGAACCTTAAGGCCTAGGAACTTCAAACTTGGTATGGTGATTGGTCATGATCAGTAGATGACCCCTATTGATTTTGGGGTCAAGGGGTCAAAGGTCAAGGTCACATTGACCTTGTAGGTAAAAACGGTTTCCGATCAATACCTAAAGAACCTTAAGGCTTAGGAACATTAAACTTGGTATGGTGATTGGTCATGATCAGTAGATGACCCCTATTGATTTTGGGGTCAAGGGGTCAAAGGTCAAGGTCACATTGACCTTGTACGTAAAAACGGTTTCCGATCAATAACTAAAGAACCTTAAGGCCTAGGAACTTCAAACTTGGTATGGTGATTGGTCATGATCAGTAGATGACCCGTATAGATTTTGGGGTCAAGGGGTCAAAGGTCAAGGTCACATTGACCTTTTAATTAAAAACGGTTTCTGATCAATAACAAAAGAACCCTTAGGCCTAGGAACTTCAAACTTGGTATGGTGATTGGTTATGACCAATCAGATGACCCCTATTGATTTTGGCGTTAGGGGTCAAAGGTCAAGGTCACATTGACCTTGTAGGTAAAAACGGTTTCCGATCAATAATGAAAGAACCCTTAGGCCTAGGGACTTCAAACTTGAGATGGTGATTGGTCATGATCAGTAGATGACCCCTATTGATTATGGGGTCTAGGGGTCAAAGGTCAAGGTCACATTGACCTTGTAGGTAAAAATGCTTTCGGATCAATAACTTAAGAACCCTTATGCCTAGGAACTTCAAACTTGGTATGGTGATTGGTCATGACCAGCAGATGACCTATTGATTTTGGGGTCAAGGGGTCAAAGGTCAAGGTGACATTGACCTTGTAGGTAAAAACGGTTTCCGATCAATTAACTAAAAACGCTTAGGCCCTAGGAACTTCAAACTTTGTGTGATGATTGGTCATGACCAGCAGATGACCCCTATTGAGTTTTAGGTGAAGGGGTCAAAGTTCAAGGTCACATTGACCTTTTAAGTAAAAACGGTTTCTGATCAATAACTCAAGAACGCTTAGGCCTAGGAACTTCAAACTTGGTATGGTGATTTGTCATGACCAGCAGATTACTCCTATTGATTATGGGATCAAGGGGTCAAAGGTCAAGGTCACAATGACCTTGTAAGTAAAAACGGTTTCTGATCAATAACTAAAGAACACTTCGGCCTAGAAACTTCAAACTTGGCATGGTGATTGGTCATGACCAGCAGATGACCCCTATTGATTTTTGGGTCAAAGGTCAAGGTCACATTGACCTTGTATGTTAAAACGGTTTCCGATCAATAATAAGAGAACCCTTAGGCCTAAGAACTTCAAACTTGGCATGGTGATTGGTCATGACCAGCAGATGACCCCTATTGATTGTGGGGTCAAGGGGTCAAAGGTCAAGGTCACATTGACCTTGTAGGTAAAAACGGTTTCTGATCAATTTACTAAAAACGCCTAGGCCTAGGAACTTCAAACTTTGTATGATGATTGGTCGTGACCAGCAGATGACCCCTATTGAGTTTTGGGTCAAGGGGTCAAAGGTCAAGGTCATGACCAGTAGATACTTTATAACCCTTATTAATTGTTTGATCACTGGGTCAGACGTCATGCATAATAACCTTATCACATGACTAATTGGCTGCTGATAGGGGGCATACATGTTTTACAAACATATCTTGTTTAATTTGAATGAGTAAGATTTTCCAAGATCATTTTTTTTAAGATTTAATGAAAATTTGTAATGGACATTTATATTTAATAGCTAGATAAAATCTTTTATGTCACTGCAGCTAATTTCATTTATAAAACGCAAGTTATCATTTCGGTGATTAAACACAACTTTTACAGTTCTGTTAATTTATTCAATAGTTTGATAGCCTTAATCAGAAAGTGATCTACTTACACCTGATCAATTTCAGCCAATCAGCATTCAGCTGCTTCATAACAAACAAATTTTCAGAGCGTACTAGCTTGTTTCTTGATCTCTAGACATTCTGCTTATCAGCCAACATCTAGATGCACATAAAATAGTATTCTTTAAGAACCAATGAATTTTTACCATTTTTGTTTACACCATATATTATTATTTTAATTTAATATCCATATATTTAATAGTCGGACATGTCATTATGCAGAACAAGGTTTATGTTTTTATAAAAGAATTCAAACATTTTGCAGATATGAAAGTTATAGAACTGGGCCGGATGGTGGATCTTCAGACAAACTGCTAAGCTCCCTTGGATATGTACGACCTTTGACCCCTGAAAGGCCAAGTGCTTTAGGGCCTCCAAAAAGAGAAAGTCCATTGATGTCAAAATCGCAGGAAAGAGTTGACCTTTCAAGGACATTTGAAAGGAGTGATATAGACTTCAACAGAGCGCGAATAGAAAGAAGCAGGACAACGTCGGCAGAGATTGACCTTCGAACAACGTCACTGGCAGCATATCATGATGATTTGTCAAAAACAACTCCGGCCTTGTCTGGAAGATCTAGAGGTACTGTGTCTATTTGATTAATAATTTTGATTGCTAAAAGTGTGCAGATTATAGGGTCATTGATGGAGACTGTCTATTTTAATATATGTTGCCTTTATCATATGTTTAGTTTTAAGATTTTGGTTATCAAACTTTTTTTTTTTTTAATCAATTTTATAATGGAATAAATGAACCAAAATATTATTTTGTTTACAACTTTGTGTCAAATTTGGACGAGTCTGAAACTTATTATACTAGGGTGATTCTTTATTAATTATTTATAAAATCTTATGGGAGGTTTTGAACATTGAACTTTAGTTATTCATTTGCCTGTCAATGTGTTAACTTATAACATTTTTATTATAAATAGGCTTTGCAAAGTCTATGCTATGGAATTGTCGATGTAAAAAAGGTATGATTTAGAATCTAACGCATCTTTGTATTATGTCTCTCTAAAGAATTTGGTCTTCAATTTTACATATTGGGTAAATTGTTGTAGTTGTTTTTTTTCCATTTTTTTTTTTATCTTAAAGTAGTCGATATACAAATCGTCTCTAGATCTTCTTGGTGATTTTTAGTTTATATTGACATATTTGTAGCAATTTACAACGAAATATCTGACCAGCGATCCAAGTCTAAAGTCCAAACTGATGATGCGAACAACACAAATTATTGTGAGTCAGCTGATCAAAATGACTGTAAACCCCAAACTGAAACTGTAAATAACCCTAGTAACCCTAGTAACCAAGCTCACACCTCCCAGGTTTTCATGAATCGTTTTGTGCCCAAAAATCCAAAAGCAGAAGTGGAGGAATCTCAAGCGGGTACATTTGATTGGTTGGAGTGAGGTGGCTACACTTGATTTATGTTTCATTTGTTTTTTAATGTTTGTTCTTTGTCAAGCATGCTTTAGAGCTGTGTTTGTCAGTGTTGTAACATTGTAATTTTGTTGATTGTTACATGTCCTGGTTTTGTTAGTGACATGTCCTAGTTTTGTTGGTGTTTCTTTGAAACTATGTACTATTAAAAATGTAAAATGCAGTGGGTTTTGCTAGAATTGGAACTTTTTCTATATTCTTCCTAGTGTTGTAATATTTTGCCAGTTACTTTATATTGTAGTCACAATCTTTTCTAAATCTTTTCTTGATGTGTTTTATACACTTCATTCTTTCATTCAGCACTATATACAAAACATACAAAAATATAATTTCTATGAAAAGTATAAAACCATTGAGTACTAGTATTGATATTCAATAACTTGACCTTGATGGTCAAGGTCAAGGTCATTTTAATGTCAAGGTCAAGTTGTTTTGTCAAAGTATAAATAAAACAGCTCATTAATATCAAAGGTATGACCACTTTAAGCAAAATGCAATAATTTGACTTTGATGGTTAAAGTCAACTAAAGGTCAAGGTCATATTTGAATTATTCAACATGTCAGTTTGGTCACAAAGGTTGTTTGTCAGTTAAGTGCAAGTTTATTGGTAATTAAATTACATTATGATAGCAGACTAACACCTAATTAGTTTTCCTGGATATCACATAAATATTGTCCTGTTCCTTTCTCAAGTTTATTTGCCATCTTCTGCCATCTGAAACAGAGCTAGGTGTCCTCATATAAACTTATACAGGTAGTAGCCTTAAAAGTGGATCAATTTAGCTACAAAATTTCAAAAAAATGATCAAGCTTAAGTAAAAAATTAATGATATTTTAACTTAATTTAAAACCTCACATCTCCGGTTTCTGGTTTCACTAGCAGAAATTTCATCATAGAAGAAAATTATAGCTGGCTTATGAGAGGTCCTTGGTTCTGTCAGGGTGTTTTTTATGCGTGATAAAATGTTAAGAGGAGTTTAGTTTATACAAATATATTTTAGTTTGATTGTGTTGGAAGCTATAAGCTTATTGAAACACTCTCGAATCCAATCCTGGAACCAACCAGTACTACACAATGAATGTTAAGTTTCTTTCTCAAGGAAACAACGGCTTGAGCCCTTGAGTCAGCAATCCTAAGATTACTAGTCCGACGCATTAACCCCTCTGCAGGTGTGGTAAAGCATGAAAGCAAAAAGTGATGAAATGTGAAAATATTACTTATTTAGTTATAGGAAGTATTGAATTAGTGTTGTTGTTTTTTTAAATTTTGTCTCTTAACCATCTAAGCTAGGTGACTGTCTATAGTAATTAACTTTTGACTGAAGTTTCTTAACATTGTGTGAGCATGTACTCTTGCATAATGCACAGACTATACATGTATATTTGTGTAACACAATAGTTAATGCCTTAATTAATATATTTTGTTTATTTTTTAAATGTAACAGACTTGCTAGTTTTTATCAAGAATTTTGATTATACATTTTTTATTGCTTAGTGAAAATATCAGTCAAAATTTAATGATGAAATAAGGTTTTATGTAAATAATTATTAATGTTTATGATTAAAGTGTGCTTGAATTAATATATTATAAATTTTAACAGCATTGACCCATTCTGACATTATTTCAGACAATATTGCCTTTAATTTAAACAGTATTTATTTGTAATCTTTTCATTTACATATTAAAGTACATGAAATACATTTTATGAATTGAGAAGGAAGCTTAAAAATGTTTTTTGAAAGCTCTCTCCGTAATCTGTGAGTATTTCACAAATTTTATATGAATGGTAACAAAATATACAATACATAAACTAAACAATACATATCATTTTGACTTTGTGCTTGCTTTCTTACGTATATATAATATCATTGTAATACTCGGGTATTCATGAACTGAATTCAAGATTCATAACCGTTCAATTTGAGATTAAGCACAAATAAGAATTTAATTTTACCAAAAAAAAAAAAAAAATGGAAACATTGTTTAGTTTAGCATTTAAAATTAAAAAAAAATAAATATTAGCCTCCATATCAATAATGATATTGCCTTTTTGACTATGATGTTGATGGAAAGTGTGCATTCTACATTTTATTTGACTTGCTGATCATGTCTGACAATAATCAGTAGTGGCAATAAAGTTGCTTGTGCCACTATTATAAAATCAAAGCACAGAAGGCGCTGAATTTGTTTGGGTCTCAGAATGTCAGAAAGGTGAAGGTTGTAAGATTATAAACCAATTTGTTTTTGTATAGTGCCACCAATGCTTTCCATCGTTTTGATTGTAGTAAATTGGCTATAAGACTTATTGCAACACTGATATTCAATTCAATGTTTATTTGACTTAAACAATTTAAAAAAAATGAGTTCCCTTAACTGGGATTTGAACTCCAGACCTCTCCCTTCCTAAGCGAGCGCGCAAATCCCTTGACCACGGTGAAGTTATATGTTAACGACCTGAAGAAAACCATATTATTCTAAATTACGGTTTGTAACCCTTATTATCTCGACGATAACTGTTGTTTAACACAGATGTAAATAATCATGGAGCTTAGTATAAGCATGTATTTCTATAAAGAATAAAACAATAATAGAAATCTTCGACCATTCAGGAACTATTTTGCTTGAAAATTAATGCGCCTGTCATTTGACCATCTTTACGCAGTGATCTCCCCTGAATTTTTAGGCGTTAGTGTACATATAAAGGGAAGTAACCGCTTCAAAAAAGCGGACTACTTTTGGCATTTGCAATTAACAGCATCGGGGTCTGAAATTTCGCTACCATTATTTGTTTAGTCTGACGACCCAAACAAATAACCAGGTCAGCTTTCAGCTAGACTAAACTCTTCACTGTTAGCAACCCAATTTTACTACTTTTTGATTTTGCTCCCGTTCAAAGGACATTGATCAAGTTTAAAAGTCGACCATCTGTGGTTAAATGGAATAAATTGACATTGATAAAGTGATAGCTATATAGTACATAGCTTTTTCTAACAGTATCGGAGATTTCCCTTATATAAACAAAGAAGGCTGAAGTATGATATATTTCACAGCAGATACCCTCACCGTCTTATTTCTTACGGCCTTTAATTGTGATTATATTTCTGGGTATCTGAACTCCATATTGTGCTGTATTATAACACAGATCACTCAAAATCAAGATATTTTTCCTAATTATTTCTTTTTTCTTTCAATTAGATACCAGAAGATTGCATTTAGCTGAGAAAGTAGACCCAGCATACGGAAGGCGGGAGGCCAAAGTCACTCATCAGAGAGAGGCTCTTGAAAAACAGATGGAATGTATGTATTTATGAATAGTATATATAGTATATTTAGAATATTTAGGGAGTTTTAGTATCAAAAATGCTGTCAAAACAAATAGCAGTGACTAAAAATACATTTAAAGTCTGGTGAGATTGTTAAACCACAATATGGAGGAGGGAGGGTCTGTGGGTAGGGAGTATGTTACGTGAATCTCTATTGGTGACTCGGGCATGTCATTTATCCCAGCGTTTTAATTTTTATCTGAGGCAAAAGATGTGCCACTGAAAACAACAGATTTAGAAAATTGTCAGGGGGGCATTTAAATATACATTCTGAAACTACAACTGATTTTAACATCATTTTAACCAATGATATGGATCGCCAATTTGTTTCTAGTGAAAACCCTGTTATCCATGATCGTTGCTTAAGTTCTGAAATGAAAACTGATATGCTGTAATTGTTAGTGAAATCTTAGACCAAGTGCAATAATTAGACTGGTATTTAGGTTGAAATATTGGCGACACTTTGACCTTTAAACTTTTCAAATTTATTGAACCGTGTTACTGTTACTCAAATACTTTACACATTAAGGTTATTGTATTTAAAACTTCCATTGATCAGTTAATGTTACTTGCTGATCAATAATCTATAGACCATTCAGTAATATTGGTATGAACATATTATAATTAACCTGATCCTAGTGAAGTTTAAGATTATAGATTATAAGAGCATAAAACTGTTTTTCACATTTTTATGTGGATTTCTTAAGTTGCTGCTTTGAAGTCAAAAGGTTGCTGTTAAATCAAAATGGATATTCTTAATGGCTTGGTTTTTATCTGGCAATTGTTGGTGCTTGATTCTTTTAGTCCAATATTTTCTTGTACTCGGAACAATGCACAAAGAAGCAGCTCCATCAGAATTGTTGACTTTTATTACAGTGTATGTAGGACTTTTAAGATGACCTTATTATTTATGTTATTCTTTTTTTCAGTGTTAGAAAAGCAAGCTGAAAAACAAGCATTACTAGCATCGTTACCAATTGTCACAAAGTCTGGTTACTGTGACGACGGTAATATGAGTGACACGCCCACTGATATTCTTGTGAATACTGCCCCAGTTGAAAAGATTGCTGCAGCATCGTGGAATAAAGGGCGTCAGAGGCGAGGTTCCGTCGGATCTGATGCATCTAATTCATCGTTCAGTGACATTGATGAACAGATTACAGCATCTGTGCGAAAGAGATCAAAATCTGCCGATGGGAGAGGTAATTTATCTTAGTTAAAATTAGGCAGCATTCAGTTTTGGGTTTTTTCACATACATGGGACATGTCAGACAAAATAAACCATTTACTTGATGTATATACTACATAGGGTTTTGAATTTTGACTGTAGACAAATAATATTTTAACCTATAATATACATTCATACAGTTTTTTGTTGTTGTTTTTTTCTGATCATTTATAAATGTAGCAAATTTGATGCGTTTGCTTTTGAGAAGTTATAAACTTTTAAATACATGTATTTCTATTTAAAACCATTTAATCAGAGTTTTGAATAGTAAACTTCTGATTTTCCATTCCACTAGCTTGACAGAAAAATAATATGATTTGTTTTGATATTCTAAAATTTGAGAGAGGAATTACACAATTTGTGAGATAGCTTATTTCAAAACTATTTCTTTTCCGGTATTATAAAAGGTGATTGCTAGTTAAATGATACAGTGATTTGAAGTAAAATGTGTTTGTGCTGCAAAAAAATGATGCCAATTCAATTGTATAGACTAGCAGTCAATGATAAAGTAATTTTGTTTCTACCAGCTGTGACAAATGCTGTCTTGACCAGACTCTCTTTTTTATGCTTTCTTAATTTTAGTATTTTATCAATGAATTAAAGAATAAAAATTTCTGTTCATTATTATTTTTGAAGATATACTATGCTCAAATTTGATATTAAAAAATATTGATAATTGCTACACAGTCTTTTAATAAATATGAAATAAACATGTTTTGACTTCATACAAAGTAGATATGTTATGTTGAAACTTCTACACACTAAAGGTAGTCATTATATGAATATATAGTAACATTAAAAAAACTGGCAGTTTTTTTTGTTAAAGAAAAGACCAACTTTTCTTGAGCATAGTTATAGGGGATGCAGCTTCAAATACATAATTTATTCGCTTTTGTATTCAAATTAGACGTGTCCAGTAAGAATTTAATAGGTTTCAATAAATTTCTGTGATTGAAATATTTTACTCAAAGATAAGCATAGTATATCTTTTATACTGTACAAATTTAGCAACATAAAGGGAAACAAGATTTAGTAATTTCCTTTACATGTTCCAGAAATTTTAAGAAGGATGGGTCCAACAGGTAGCTCCAGCAAGGAAAACCCAAGTTTAACACGTACATTATCACCAGCGCCCTCTGCTGGCCTACGTTCAGTGACACTTAGACCAATAGCGACACAGCATAACAAGTCAGCACTATCACTATCCAGCAGGTAACAGGTTTTAAAAGTTAAATAATATAAATAAATAATTATCTTAGTGCAATAACTGATTAACTCCTATCAAATTTAGAAGAACTTATTCCGTTACTGCACTAAGGTGATGAATAACGCTCTTGCGAACATTTTCAGTCGGTCAAAGAAGATGCAAAGGCATCAGAAAATATCCAACCATGGCTGGGATTTGAATTTGCAACTTCCCATTTACAAGCAAAAGTAACAATGCTCTGGACCACTAGCTGAGCCTAAAAAGGAACTTGCAGACTCAGTTATTCAACTTTAACAATGTAGTAGAAATTTTGAGTTAATTGAAATTTTAACATTTTGACAGTTTTAACCTTAGTTACTTATTTATCAAAAATAATAAGCAAGCTAAACTTGTATATTTATACAAAATGGGTTTTATTAAAGTTTTTTTTTTTTTTTTGACAAAAAGGTAAAGCAGATCAAAGAACTATATAGATTTTTACATTATTATCAAGTTATGTTTTCAAAAGATGATATTTTTATAAAGAAAAGAAAACAATGACATAGGTATCATTTTGTGATAAGACTGATTGTTTTTAAGATATATGATATTCAACAATCAACAATCTCTCCCATACCTTGAAAGTGGTGATGTTGTCTGTGTGCTTAAATTTTTAGGGTTTTATCATATTTTTTAATGCAAGGATGATGCCCTGCCAATCTTCGTGGAAGGTCAGTGGATCTACCTGGGTGCCTTTCTTTACATGATTGTGAATTCATGTCATAAAGCTTGAAAGTTTTAAGCTTCTTACGTGTAATTTGACAAGATCCATCCATGGTGTGTCAAGTGCTTATGGGCACCATCTTGCATTCTCTTGCCACTCACTGCTGTGGGTTTGAATCCTGTTAGGAAGGTATGGAGTGTCTGTTCTTTTCAGGTGCCCTTATGTGACTGAAATAATGCAAACACATATAGGAACTCCTGAATCTTTCCTCATCAATAAAGCTAAAAAGTTGCCAAATGACAGTTAAAATGTCAGTGTGCAAATAAATCTTAAATGCGTTTAGAGGAGCATTGTATGTCTTTTGAAAATCTACTAATGTAGTCATATTTTTTGTCCTTTTCCAGTTTGAATTCTCTGACCCAAGGTTTGCGGCCATTTGCTCCCCGAAGTGCACAAGATTTACAGATAAGTGATGTTATAAAGTTCTCTAGGCAAGGAGGGAAACTAAGTCAAGGAACTATAAAGTTTATAGGTCACTTGCCGGGACGAGGTGACATCTACCTGGGCGTGGAGCTTGATAAAGAAGGTAAAAATTTAAACTTTTTATATAGTATATTTTATAGGTTAGCTGGCAATTCTGTAAAAAGTCAATGTATTATATATACATTGTACCATATCGTCACCTTATTGCAGTAATCGGTTAACACCATATATAATTTAATAGAAGTTAACCTGTTACTGCACTAAAGTGATGATAATATTGATATATAGGTTGGATTTATTCAGAAATATTTTTTTTAACTTTTGTATTTTATAATTTGGGTTATATATATATAGTTATGAGACTGTGTCGCTAAATTTCCATATTGATAATTATTTTATGCTTTATAATTGAATTAGTTTTTTTTTTGTTTTTTTCATTATCGTTTTTTTTTTTACTTGAGTCAAGTTGAGTTAAGTAGGTTAAATAATGATGGCAAAGTAGCAGGACAAAATATTCAGATGTAACATTTTTGCTTTTTTTTTCAGATGGCAAGCATGATGGTGTATTTGAAGGGATCAGATATTTTAAATGGTAAGTTTTGTAGTAGTACATTTTGTGTTATCAGTTTTATCTATATTTTAATGGTTTGGTTTTAAATCACAATAAATATGTTATGGTTATGTAGAAACTTTTATTAACAGAAGACCTAAGATTCCCATTATCTTTACATAAATTAAATTTTATGATGAACCAACAAAATTCTGTTATCCACATGTACCTCATATAAACAACAAATAAAAGTTATCCCCACATAAAAAAAAACCTTTAGTCACATATAAAGAAAATTAATGCTTGGCACATAGAAAAGTGTTATTCTGACATAATGAAATTAAAGTTATGTCCATGTAAAAGAATTTGAAGTCGTTGGTGGGATTCAAACCCAAAGTGGTGAAGGATTTGAAGTCAATGACAATAATCATTTACCTCATGACACTTATCTGAGACACTGTCCTGAAAAATACCCTTACATTTTCCTCTAATCTCTGATTAAAGGGAAGTAACTGCAGATGCAATGAAAACAAAAAATTAATAAATAGATGAAAGTTGCAGACACGGTTTGATTGAGTCTTGTTGTTGCCCAAAAATGAAGATGTATGTAGTAGAAATGTTACGTTTTTGATCATTATGTCTATATATATGTTATGTGTATTAAACAGCATGGATGTTATGTTTTAAAATGTTTGAATCATTTTGTACAACTTATTTACATGTTATTTCTTTTATTTTATAATTCCAGTAAACCAAGCAAGGGTGTGTTTGTTGCCTACAATAAGGTGGTGATGGCATGGACATCATATTGAGGGCATGGCATGTACCTTACAGAGTATAACATATCCAGAATAATTCGGCCACGATTAAAATTTGATATGGACAGCATTCTAAGAATTATACAAAAATATGTTATTAGGATATATATATATATTGACATGAAATATGGCTTAATAATATATCCCATAGGCACAGTTTATGAACACTTCATATTATAAACCTAGATTAAATAGGCAGAAAATAAACGGCATGCCAAGATAATATGTGTTATTAGCATATAGACAAAGAATCTGGCTAAAAATTATATGGTTTAAACACAAAATATACCTAGATTAAATTGGCAGCAAATGAATGGCATGCCAAGGTACCATGTGTTATTAGGATATAGACAAAGAATCCGGCTAAAATTATATGGTTTAAGCACAACTTAGGACACTAAATATTATAAACCTGAATTAAATTGGCAGAAAAAATGAATGGCATGCCAAGGATGATACTCTATGTTATAAGAATATAGAATATGGCCAAAAAATATATGGTTTAGACACAACTTACGTACCAAATATTTGTAGCAGATTATATGCTATAGGTTCTTAAGCAAAGGTTTTGGCACAAATCTTTCATTTGCATCAACTTCATTCCAAGAAATTTAGTTCCTTTGAGCTTAATTTTTAGCTGTATAAGAAATCCACATTCCATTTTTTACAGTCATATTCTCATGTAATTATGCCTAAACCTGAGTGAAAACAGTTTTTATGATTTTAGCTGACTTTCTATATCTTTAATGTTATAAGGTGGTGATTTCTGCCTTACAGTTATATGGCTGCAAAAACTTGGCTTTTCTATGAAAAATATCAAGGGCTTGGTGCGAAAGGGTGGTATCTCATATAACTCAGATAAAGGAGTTACAACCCTTTCGCACCAAGCTGTCGATATAATATATTATATATATTATATTATAATATAGAAAAGTACACAACTGATTTATTTAAGATCTGTGATAGTAGAAGATTATATTTATATTTTACATTGTATGATTTTTTTCGCCTATTTATAGTAATATTTACATTTGTTTATATAATATACATTATGTAGTATGAAATATTTTCATTATACATGAAATATGTGCACTAACATGGTTTTATTTAGTATTTATTTAGTATTTATGTTAATGATATGTGTAATTATCATTTATGTAGAAATTTCCATATTCTACGATTTTATTTTAGTTTAACTATACCAAATTGGTTAAAAGCATCAATGTTCTTTCATTAATGTAGAACTATCCAAATTGGTAAAAAGCATCTGTTTTATCAATGTTCTATGATTTCATTAATGTAGAACTATCCAAATTGGTAAAAACCATCTGTTTTATCAATGTTCTATGATTTCATTAATGTAGAACTTATTATCCAAATTGGTAAAAAACATCTGTTTTATCAATGTTCTATGATTTCATTAATGTAGAACTATCCAAATTGGTAAAAACCATCTGTTTTATCAATGTTCTATGATTTCATTAATGTAGAACTTATTATCCAAATTGGTAAAAAGCATCTGTTTTATCAATGTTCTATGATTTCATTAATGTAGAACTAACCAAATTGGTAAAAACCATCTGTTTTATCAATGTTCTATGATTTCATTAATGTAGAACTTATTATCCAAATTGGTAAAAAACATCTGTTTTATCAATGTTCTATGATTTCATTTATGTAGAACTATCCAAATTGGTAAAAACCATCTATTTTATCAATGTTCTATGGAACTTACCAAATTGGTTAAAAGCATCGGTTTTATAAATGTTCTATGATTTTATTTATGCAGAACTTAACAAATTTGTTTAAAACATTAGATTATTTGCCTTAATATCAATGTTCTAAGAATTTAGCAGTTTTATCATCTACACATTCTACAATGTGTATATTGAATGGTAATACACGTAATTTTCTTCTTCAATTATTTGTAGAAAAATGTCAGTTAGATGCTCCTATATAAATTTCACATTTAATTAAAAATGATTTTCTGTACCTTAATTTTTAGCTTATGCATTATATTAGTTCAGTAAAATTTAGCTGATTTTTTAGTATTTTTAAACACATTTTTTTTCGGTGTTTTCAATTTTTTCGTTATAGATCTAATTATTTAAAGATATACTATGCTCACTCTTGAGTAAAATATCTTAATCACAGAAATTTATTGAAATCTAGGAAATTCTTAATGAATATGTCTAATTTGCATAAAAGAATGAATAAACTATGTATGGGAAGCTGCGGTCCCTATGAACAAGTAAAGTTGGTCCTTTTCTTAAAAAAATGTAAGTTTTTTAATGACCCTACGTATATATAGCGTGTACATTTACTTTGTATGAAGTTAAAACATGTTTATATTACATTTACAAAGAGACAGTTATCAAATTATTAATATTTTATTAATTTCAAATTTTAGCATATTATATCTTTAACTAAAAATAAGTACATGTATATATATTATTTCTTTTATAGTAATTTTTTAGAGATTTTGACTTTTCTGATTTGAAGGAGGATGTATCTGTCTCATATGATTTTGCCATAGATCTAGACTTTCTTTTTTATGTCATAAAATGTTATTTTTATTAAATTTTACAATTACAAAAAAAAACAATATATTTCATTTCATATCCGTCCAGTTATATGTTGTTACATATCTTTTGTATGATGAAAATTAAACGTTTTTTATACATTTTAATGATTTCACTTGAAATAATTCTGTCTAACTTTTATTTTATTTATTTTTTTCATGCTTATTAAGGAGCTATGTTATACACCAGTATTTGGCTATACTGTCAACTATACTATCATATATGATTACCATATTGTCTCCATTTAACACCCCAGGGTTTTTTTTTCAAGGGGATGGGGGTGCTTAGAACTAAAAATCTGTACCTTAGAATATGTTTATTAAAGATACAATTCAATTATATGAATCATTATTTGTTATAATTATCTAATATATATAACTGGATTATTTCTTATAATGATTTTACATTACTAATTAAAGGGGGTCGGGGTTAAATGGAAACAATATGGTATATATTTTATGAGAAAATCAAGAAAACCATTAAATTGACAGTAATTTTTTACTGTGTGGATTTCATTGTTTACGAAATGTAATTTATGTAATTTACAGATGTGTAATTTGCATATTGTTTTGCTCATCATGATGACGTTGATCATGAAATAAAGAATGTAGTGTTAATGTGATTTATTGCTATTGATTAGGTTAAAAATGTATTTGAGTCTTTGATAATAAATGTCACATAATATAATTGAATGGTTGATTCTTTTTTCAATGTTTTAATATGTTAACATTTGATTATTAAATATAACATACCTTGTTTGAAGAACATAATTATGATACCTGGCAACCAGTCATAACCTTTTTAAAACAAAGTTGGTAAGAGTTCTCTCCCCTTTAAATAACAAAGTTGTTAACAAATTTAAAGGGAAGCAACTCTTGGAAAATAAAATAAAGAAGGCAAGAGGGAACTCTGATAATTACAAATGGCATTATTGGTTCAAAGAGAAGAAACTTGATAAGTGAAAAACTTCCAATGGTGCATATTTTTCCAGTGTTGCTCCAGGTACGTATGTTAATATACGTACCTGGTTGCTCTTGTAGTTTTCACAATATTTTTGTAGAAATTGTGGCTCATATTTCCATCAAAATATTGCCGCATAGAAAAATTTCATAATGTTTAAATAATGATTTTAGAGAATGTTAGATGATTGTTACCATGAGAATGTGAAATAATTTGTCATAAAAGTAGCAAAATGTAAACAACTTGTTTTTTGACTTCCATGCAAAATAATTATTTACTATTACTGCAATGGTCAATGAGTAACTTTTTTGATACTTTAAAAGTACACCAACAATTGAAAAAGCTTTTGATAAATAAACATTAAAGGGTTTCTGAAGCATAATGGGCCTTAAAAGTTATCAAATAATATCTGGAACATCACACCTACATGTACTTAGATGTATATCTATGTCAATGACTTCACTAGTTGTAGGATATTGTCCCATTTCATGTCTAGTACATACACTCATACAGGCAATTTTGAAATACGAAATATTGTACACACATCATCTACTTGAGACATATCATTATTTACCATCCAGGCCACTTCCTGTCGTATAGTTTTCCCCATCCATATTGATCAATTTTTATGTAAGATGATGCATGTTTGTAAATTTGCGACTCAAAATCGCGGGGACCCAGCACAGTGTTGGGATAGTGTAAAAAAGTAATTTAAAAAAAAAATATATATTGTATAAATAATATATAGACTATATATATATATTGTCTCTATATTATATATTAAGTATAATTTTTTTTCTAGAATTACTTTTTTTACACTATCCCAACACTGTGCCGGGTCCCTTTGCTCAAAATACGACTTCACAAACGGTACGGTGGCATATATGGGACATCGAAAATCTATCTTATTACCTGCAACGTGTTAATATTACGTGCGGTCTTGTTACCTTATCATGTGCAAATTTATTAGCTATTATGCATGTGTTCACTGTAACATGTGCACTTATAAGTACAACATGCGCTCGTGCTAATCTACGTGCGCACTTGGCTTTTACGTGCTCACGTTTTGATTATCAGGTTCGCACGCGTTATCTATAACAAAGGGACCCGACGCAGTGTTGGGATAGTGTAAAAAAAGTAATTCTAGAAAAAAAATACTTTATATACAATATATTTTTTTTAAAAATTACTTTTTTACACTATCCCAACACTGTGCTGGGTCCCCGTGATCTATAGTGTAATACACAGAAAAGTTTTAGGTGCGCACATAATAATTCATACACGTGTACGTACGTAAATATATTATATTCACACACGGAAGTATAGTCTCAAGGCGCATCTATTAGATACTACGTACGTATGTAATAGTTAACGCAGTCATGCTCACGTGATAAACTAAATATTTTCAATGTTCCCTTTCCGCCACCATAGTACAAAAATGCTCTTAAAACTACGCAGATGGCGGAATTTATATTCATATTCGAGGGTAAATAACAGAATATTGGATATGATTGTAAATACATGTCACATTAACCAGTCTGAGAAGGAAAAAAAAAACAAACAGTTACTGTCCTTGAAATGCTCACTTTCTAATACACGAGATTCAATTAATGGCCACCAGCCAAAGGCATTATCATAACAAATCAACATTTAATATAGCAACATTACGTATAGTTATTTTTTTACGTTATACAACTGTTGCAAAAGTACAAAACGTATGATTTGTTTATGCGTACATTGTAAAGGAGGTCATGGTCGTCTTTGTTTACATCAATTACAGCCAGTAACAAAACATTGTTGAAGTTTAAACAACGTTATCAACAATAAGTGAATGCGGAAATTGCAAATGCTATTTGAAGGAAGGGTAGATTAAAACTGCGTCCCAGATGCGTCTGGAACAAAATTATTTGGCTTTTGTTGAAGGATACAGTGCTATTACAGAATTATAGGTAAGAACGTTAAACTAATGTTAACATTTTTCAGTTTTACTATTTTGTTTCATGAAAAAAACAAAACAACAGAAATTGGATGATCTTGAATAAGAAAAAAAGAATTACAAAAATCCCGTTCGAAATTCGTTTTATATTAATTTTTGTCTAGTTTTATGTGATGTGTCAAATGTTAAAATCTTTCAGAAATGGATAAAAAGGAATTACGAGATTATCTTGGGCAAAATCAACACTTTAACCCAAGTGCGAACCCGCAACAACCCAATCAACGCTGGTGGAGTAACGTTAAACCATTTCAGGTAAATATAAATGTTTTGTTTTAAATAGCTTCACTTTCCAAAGAAAAATAGTGAAGAACCATTTCGATAAGGTCCGTAATGAAAGCTACTCACTACAAACTTGGTCTCAATCTAAAAGCAGCATACCTCCAGATTCATGCTTATTTTCATAAAAATTTTGAAAATGTTTTTTTTTTTAAGCAAAATATTGTGAAGTAACAAAGAAAGTAATTTACACAAAGGCACTTTATTTATGCTTAGATTTTTTTCCATATTAATCGTCAGATTTGAAATATGTGTCGTTATCAAGGGCAGGTAAGTCTGCCGAATACTTTACACTGAGAAAAGTATGGCGCTCGAGACGAAAGTGCAATAAGTATCATTAGCATTATTAAGATTTACAAAACACAGTATCGTATAATAATGAGCCGCGCCATGACAAAACCAACATAATGGCGTTTGCGACCAGCATGGATCCAGACCAGCCTGCGCATCCGCGCAGTCTGATCAGTATCCATGCTGGTCGCAAACCCATTATGTTGGTTTTGTCATGACGCGGCTCATTACATGTATTGTATATTATAGGGCTTGCAACGTCAAGGATCCGCAGATTCTTCGTCCTCTCCGACCACAAGCTCTCCGATGGCTGGTTCCTCCGTCGTGTCAGAAAGTTTCAGAAGAAAGTTGTCCCGCTCTTTTTCGTCAGACGAACATAAGGATAGCATTCTTACGTAGGATGTACAGATTTTTTACCCTACAAGATTTTGCCCGAGATCAATTTCTGTAGATAGCTTGGTCTGCCACTGTTTGCTTACATTTTGTAGACGGCATCTGAGGGTTTAAATCTTAGTGCTAACCCCGCACAATGTTTAACATCCAACAACGGAAACATCAACAAATTGGACAGGACATAAAATCTCATGATATGAAAACAGGGTCTTTCAAATGATAGACCCTGATGGAAAGGACTGATTCTAAATTAAAGTGTTTACATGGTATTAGACTTTTTTAATTAGTTTATATGTATGTAATAGTAAGAATAATATTTTCATAACGAAAGGAAAGACATATATCAAGAAATCGGAGACAAAATGCATGAAACGGGTTCGTCATTTGTTTCCATCTTTTCCATCATCAATCAATCGGAACATCTTGGCTATTATCAATGACGGAAATGGCCGAAAAGTTGCGATTGTGCATCAATAATACACATTTTACATAAGTAGATATACTCAGCTGCTTTTTGGACAGTATGTGCTCATTTATAACGTTACATAAAAATGTTTTTGCTTTTTTGCTATGTTGTAGATATACCTAATACACAACTTATAAAAAAATAATAAGTGTCTTGTTTTTGTATACAAACGGAAAGCAATATTCCATTGAGTTCCAAAAGTTTGAATTTCTTACATAGATCAAATGGGGAGTTTAAAACGGAAATATATGTAAAAGATTATTACGAATAAATTTAAAATTTATTTTTGTGCTACTCCTAGCCTAATTTGAGTGAAAAGCATTCCTATATTGCAGCGTTTTTCAATTTTTGGTACATTGGAATGATTATTCGGGAAAGAACGGAATGAGCGAATTATCTGAAATTTTGCACACGTTTATAATTGTTTCGATTTACATCAAACTGTACATTGATCTCTAGTTCGAACATGTCAAAACCCCTTGGTGATGATTTGAATTTTATACTGGTATTTGACGAGATGTGAATTCGGTACACGTACAATGTCGTCTGCTTTCAAGAGTCTGTCAATCCTTTTAGATTTTGAGTTTGCTATCTTGTAGCATTTTGCTCACTTGCTGAATTTTGCATAATGAATTTTCCAGTTTTTAAAGGCACATTATGCCTCAGAAATCAATGTGGTTAATTCTTTAGAAAGGTAAGATACGCCAATTTATTATATTTTATATCTCAAAAAGATAATTCCTGCCTAGGAGATAAAAAGTAATTAGAACTTTAAAACTCCTACGTTGGACTCTTATAACTCATACGTAAACTGTAGACTTTGTCAACAGATAAAAGCTGTATGACCGAAAAATGCAAAAAATAATATTTATTGCATCTATGACCCAGCGAAATCCACCTCTACCCAAAACTAGATGTGTGCAAACAATGTTAAGACAATAAAGGGAATATCTACGGAAGCGTCCAGGTGCCAATTTAACATGTTCTTTAAAAAAGAAGATAACAAAGGACTTTGTAACTCCTACGTAGGAGAAAGAAATGCCTAATTAGGAGTTTATAACTCCTACGTAGGACTTTGTAAGTCCTACGTAGGACTTTATTAGTCCTACGTAGGACTTTATAACTCCTACGTAGGAGATATAAAAACCTAACTAGGAGTTTGAAAGTCCTACGTAGGACTTACAAACTCCTACGTAGGACTTTATATCTCCTACGCAGGAGTTAAAAAGCCTATTTATGAGTTTATAACTCCTACGTAGGACTTTATGAGTCCTACGTAGGAGTTTATAACTCCTACGTAGGACTTTATAAGTCCTACGTAGGACTTTATAACTCCTACGTAGGAGATAAAAAACCTAATTAGGAGTTTTAAAGTCCTACGTAGGAGTTTAAAAGTCCTACGTAGGAGTTTATAACTCCTACGTAGGACTTTATAAGTGTTCCTCTACGTAGGAGTTATAAAGTCCTAATTAGGCTTTTTATCTCCTACGTAGGAGTTACAAAGTATTAGCACCGATTATGTTGACTTAGATAAAACTATAAGGGAACATGCAATTAGCCACGTGCATTGCAGAGAGCAGCACAGTGATAATATAAATAGTACATAATAAGCAATACATATTAACGAAAAACATTGAATTCAAACACATAAACACACATTTCAATTCAGTTGAACAATAACCTAATACATGTAATTACGGAAGTAGTCTTGTGGGCCCGAGATCATCCAAGGTTTATATGAAAGAAATCTGTCAGTAAGAGAAACTGCAGGAGTGCTGAAGTGTAGGGACACGGAGCTCCCCATTTCTTTTCGGAAGCATAAAAACTACATAAAGTCATATATCATTATAGGAAAAAACTAAAAACACATTCAAAAACTACCGATTGAATAAGTATCGTAGATATCCCAAATGTAAACAAATGATTTTTAATGATGGCCTAATGAACTCTTAGCTTTAAGTAAACCTAAATTAAAACTGATCAAAGGCAGCCTGAGCCAGATATATCTTTTGCACTTCGAACTTTCTGTCGGACTTTCACATAATATACACTCAAATGCATTTCGACGCTTTTACTTCTGATGCTATAACCTTATAATATGTATATATTATTATAGTCTATATTTATATGTATCTATATTTATTGGCGTCCGCGCCGAAGCGCGGCGCCCTTATGGAATGAAATCAGATTTTGTGAAAGGGCGACAGCAACTTCTCGAGCCTTTTAGTCGGTCATAATAAAAGCCGATCATTCCGATCGGTATGAGGGTGCTTGATTATTATTAAGAATGAAATGTCGCGATATGTTACAATGAATAGCGAACTGGAGAATTTCGCAATGCAAACATTTTCAAATGAAATAACCTTTTCCGTCAATAAATCGCGCTCTTCGGTTTTTTTTTATTTATCATTTTTGTAGTACACAGTGGGTTATCATGGTATGTTAATCCTAGAATGATCAGTTGATGACCTAAATATTCCAAAAATCTATTTATAGATATATCTATTCATCACTCCTATCGGTAATTACCGGTCTCTCCCGGTCTATTTTGACCGGGATTTACTAGTGACCGGCGAATAGTACCACACGTTTATTGTCCGGTCTCTCCCGGTTTTGGAGTAGATGTTTGATATCGTTACAATTAGAAAAAAACAACAACAATACCATGTTTCATTTTATCTATATGAGATAAAAACAATAAATATGTACACGGATTTATATGTAATGTACGATTTATATGCAATATAAATCCGTGATATGTACAATAATTGAGAAAAGGTACATTTTTATGGTATTAAAATGACATAATCAACTTTTAAATTAAAACATTTTATTTAATTTGTTATCCGTGTTTAGTAAAGATGCCGAGGAATTATTCAAAGTTACAAATTAGATTTTATGAATTATTCAATTGATTGATAATTTAAAAAATGATAAAGAAAAATACAAATGTACATGTACATGGTTTAAGAATAAACAATATTATATATTGAAAGATAAACTATAATTTACTGACTTTTTCCAGTTAAGCTTTGACTTATAATCGTCGGTCAATATGACAATTGAATTCTTAAATTTTATTTTACAATTTTAATAAAAAAAGATTAGTAAAAACTCAGTATTAAAATATCACATAAAACACAAAAAAGAAAAAAAAACAACATTCATAAAATTTGTTTTTTTTTATGAAAATTAATAGATATTACAATTATTGTATAATAAACAATTATGCTCAACATGATCAACATGGTAATATAACCAGTGTCATATGTTTACTAACTTATTTGTGTAAACAGATACCTTAAGAGGGGGTCTTCGCTAATAGCGATAACATAATAAGGGACAGTTACAAAGGTGTGGTACGTGTTGATCATGCGTTACACATATGGATTATAAATGATTGCATACATGTATATCCGTTGCTATTAATAACCACGATCATAAAGAAATAACAAGTAATATTCTAATCTCTAGCATGCCAATCAAAGTTCATAATGAACAATGTCTTTCGTCCGCTCATTCATAAGTGATATACATTTCTGGTAGTTTATAAGAATATCTTGTAATCATATGTGTACTAGTTCATCTTCACTTGCTGCATTTCTTGCTTGGACGCCCTTTGATACGGAATGCCGTTAGGGCCATTGCCTATGAATGTGTTTTTCTGAAACGCGATAGTCGATAGTACGATGGTGAAAACGCGAAATCACGAAACTACGATGGTGAAAACGCGAAAGTACGATGATGAAAACGCGAAAGTACGATGATGAAAACGCGACAGTACGATACTACGATGATGAAAACGCGATAAACGCATTCCGGAATGCCGTTAGGGCCATCGCCTATGAATGGTTTGATCTGAAACACGATACTCGACAGTACGATGATGAAAACGCGAAATCACGAAACTACGATGGTGAAAACGCGACAGTACGATGGTGAAAACACGATAGTTTATCGCGTTTTCATCATCGTAGTATCGTACTGTCGCGTTTTCATCATCGTACTATCGCGTTTTCATCATCGTACTTTCGCGTTTTCACCATCGTAGTTTCGTGATTTCGCGTTTTCACCATCGTACTATCGACTGTCGCGTTTCAGATCAACACATTCATAGGCGATGGCCCTAACGGCATTCCGTACTTTGATGCTTTGCATCAATGCTTTTCTTGTATACATATTATAAGGTTTTTTTAAGTCACCATCAAGTCCAAACACTGTGTTGGCCCGCTGTGATATACATTTTGTACACCAACTGCATTTCAAGTAGAATACAATCATAATCGAAATAAAGACGATTGAAACGCTACGCTGCTTTGGTTCAAAACACATTTTTCAATAAAACGGTAGTTAAATCTGGTTGATTCAAGCGCATGCTTGTTTACACCCAGAAACAAGTATTTCGACATTGTTCAAGCTGCCGCTAGTCACGTGACATTGTGTTTGTAAACATTGCGCGACCACGTGGTAAATATTGCTCATCCTCTTACAACCAATTGCAAAACTATTTGCCAGAGTAAAGAAGAAAATATTGAGCGACTGAAAAACGAAGAATGGGCGCCGTAGTATGATTTCAAATAATAAACCTATAAACTTTCAAACATATATGTAGATCTATATGAACAAAATGGCAAGATTGATTTTGTTTGAACGCAAATTGAGTGAACCTTTTTTTTCGATAAGCGACCCGTGAATGTTTGATAATTAAAAAACAAATCTTAAAGACAAAGTGAGTTTTGAGACATAGAAACTGACCTGAAAAAATTTAAAAAATCTTTCCCTTTTGTCATAAATTAGTTAAAATTACTTTTACAGCCTAGCTGGTAGATCTATTTGCGAATAGATTATTGTACTTGAGTGTAATCATTGAGTTTCGCTCAATATTCCCCGGGATTTCCGAGCACTATATAAGAGACCTGGCAAACCTTATTTTATACCATTAACTAAGAGTTGTCTTATACGGTTGTAACAGAAATATCGGATTTTATTAAAAGTAAGTGTCGACATACTATATGCGCATTTTATATACATTTTTAAAGTGTCATAAAACTATTCATTCTACATTTGATAATATTGATGAAACTATAATGTTATATATAACTTCATCAGTTCATTACATTTTACTTGGAAAAGTTAATAGTTTTATGTTATTTTTTTTACTCATTTAAATTGTTTATAAAGCATGTTAAAATAAAATGCATCCATAAGCTAGGTCTGGCCTTATTGGGACCAAAAACCTTTGCATTGTTTCTTGTATATAGGGAACGGGGAAGTCCATCGCGCATGGCACACCAGCTCAACTGCTTGGAATTGATAATGTACAATTGTAATTTTTTTAAATGGAAGCAGGGCACGTCATTTTAAGAAATTTTACAGGATAGGTAATTCATGCATCATGCTTCTTGTTTCATACTGGATTTTATAAATTGTGGCAATTTTTGCAGGAACCATGGATAAAAGGGAGGCGAGAGAATTTCTGGGAACAAATCATCACTATAATCCAGCAATGAACGTGATTCCTGGACAACCACCTGCAGCCAAGAAGAAATGGGGAGTCATTGGGACCACTGTGGCGAATCCGGTAAACTTTTATTCTGTTTAAGAAATAATGTTAATAAATAATTATAAACTCTACAATTGAATGTACATCTATCTGCTATAGTTCACAGGCGTTCGGCATATATGTCTTGCCAATTATCTTCAAATTATCATAAAAAATACCATTATTGGCAAGGGAACCGCGCTGAAATCTTGTACTATAATTCGGTTTAGCAAACAAGGTCGTTCGGCGCATACTGCATTGCATTTATAAATAAAAGTTAAAACTCAACTGAGAAATTACAAAGTTTTCCAAGTTCGTTGAATGTTTTAGTTTAGGTAAAAACATAATGAAGATTTTTACTCGAATATTGATTTCAGTCTAATAGGCAATACATAAAAAACATTTGAATATTACTCTTTTGTAATCGTTATATATAATGATACATTATGCATTTAAATATATACACCAAAACGTCATTGAAAATTCATTGTAACTTCGAACAAACACGATTTAATAATAACTTTTAAAAGTAAAATTTATTTGAGTTACTCCGCCAAAAGTTGTCTAATAACAGTATATATTATTTTGCAGTTGAGAATTCGTCAGAATTCGGTTTCTTCGGACACATCATCACCAGTTGGATCTCCAACCGAGGCGCCAGACTTTAGCCAACTGGAAAGAAGAAATTCTAAGACACTGTATAATTCATTTGGATTCACAAATTGATTTACCAGTCAGTATTTATAACAGCGGGTCAGAGACCAGACAATCGTCGTTTGTGTTCATATACAAACCTGGTCATATATTTCGTCCATTTCGGTTAAAATGAAATTTCATTACCATGTCTCTAGTGCATAATATACAAGTGTGACTGTCAGTACATATAGAAAACAATTAGTTCACAAACTGTGGATTAAAGAGGGCATTTGTGTGTTTGTTATTGTGTTCGACTTAAAAATGTAATGCGTGTTTACTGCGAGTGATTTTGAAATTTGATAATTTTGTATGTTCCCATTGCACAACGATATTGTGATACATTATTTCAAAATGTATTTTTGTAAATAACAAATAAATGAAACGTAAAACTGCTCGTCTTATTTTGTTATGAATAAATCAGTCAAGGCCCTTAACATCGATTTATTTCAAGGTCCCATTAATTGTTTGTAAACAAACTAGCGCTTCAAGGCTATGACCTCGTACGACTTGTTTCAAAGGGAGGTAACTGAAGCACACTGATCGTGGCATTTTCAAATACTTCCGATAAAAGGAAGATAAATGATAGTTAAGCCAGGTTATTGACACTTTGGTTTTTGTTTGGTTAATTATAACAACCGCCTGACTTAAAGCAGCATGCCTGCAGATTCATGCTAATTTTCATGAAAATGTTGAAAATGTATTTAGAAGTAAATCGTTGAGAAGTGAAAAAAGAAATTTTCACATTGTAAAAACAGCACTTACACAATCCTCGTATTTACCAAAAAATGTTAAAATATGCAGAAATAGCCTTTCCTGCTTTAGTCGAGGCAGCAGAAACACATGACCCATGGTGATAAATACTGCTATCGCACAAGACCTGTTAATTATTACTAAAATCTTGAATTTTCTAAATTTATTTTCTTGATTTTTTGGCTCATCTAGAGGTTTCCCGACACACATATTTTAACCACTGTGGTGATTTCCGTAGTTTATTTGTCCGAATTCGCGTGTTGTTGCCCAATATTACATTGATATTTATTTTAATAAACCACCTGTTCAGGATCAGCCCTTGTACGTTGTCCATCAGCCAGTCTGTATGTTCTGCCGTCCGTACACACTACATTAAACATCTGAACCATGAAAAAAAAAAACGTCAAAGTGAAAGGTTCTTGCGGGGGTGCCCTTTTTACCTCGATTTTTTCGTTAAAAACAGCTTTTGCTAGTCATGATGCCGTAGCTATTGTCTTTACCTTTGCCAATCGCACTCTTAAACATTGGTCATATATTTTAAGCTCGATGTTGCCGAGCTACTGCTTCAATCATGGTGTCGTTGTTTACGCTTCGGTTCATGTACCGTTGTCACCCCAAAACTTTAACATTGGCGGGCATATCTGTTTCATTCTTTTAGGTTTACGTTGCACCGATTCAGTATAGGTCCTAGCGACGTTCTAACTTTACTTATGGAGAAAAACCTCCGGTACATCTCCGTGTAATAATTCAGACACGAATGGGCACCTGAGTAAAACCACCGACGTTCCGTTAGCTAGCTGAAAGCTTCTTCCTATTACAGAATCCCCTGTCGGGGTTCGAACCCACGGCGATGAGGGACAAGTAGTTTTAAGTCAAAGAACTTAGCCACTTGGCCACGGCCTCCCATAATTAGCTCGACTTTTTTTTTTGAAAAAAAAAAAGTAGATGTATTGTTATAGTCGCGGCGGCGTTGCCGTTGCCGTCCGCAAACTTGTACCTGGATCATTACTTTTTTATTTCTTGGTGTTTGTCTTCATACTCGGCCACAACAACCCTTGGGACAAGACCTTTCAGTAGACCACACTAACCTTGACCTTCATCCATAAATGACCTTGACCTTCAAGGTTAAAAGTCCAAATTTTGCTTGTTCATGCTGTTATTGGCTGTAACTTTGTTATTTTTGAATGGATTGTCTTTAAACTTGAACATAATAATCTTCAAGGATATCCCTTAAAAAAAACCGGCAGACATTGATCTTCACTCATAAATGACCTTGACTTTGAAGGTCAAATTATTGAAATTTTCATGTTTTTGGCTATTATTGGCTGTAACTTTGTTATTTTTGAATGGATTGTCTTCAAACTTGAACATAATAATCTTCAAGGATAAAAAAAAACAACACGACAGACCTTGACCTTCACTCATAAATGACCTTGACTTTGAAGGTCAAATTGTTGAAATTTTCATGTTTTTGGCTATTATTGGCTGTAACTTTGTTATTTTTGAATGGTTTGTCTTCAAACTTGAACATAATAATCTTCAAGGATAACCCTTAAAAATAACCCGACATACCTTGACCTTCACTTATTAATGACATTGACTGTGTTTTGGCTGTAACTGGCTGTACCTTTGCTATTATTCAAGGGATCAACTTCATATTATAACAGAACATACTTAAGGACAAGACCTTGTTGTTAATCGTGACTTCACCACGTGACTTCACCACGTGTCTTCACCACGTGACTCCACCACGTGACACCACCACGTGACACCACCACGTGACTCGTGGAGTCACGTGACTCCAACACGTGACTCCACCAACTCTACCACGTGACTCCACCACGTGACTTCACCACGTGTCTCCACCACGTGTATCTATTTATAGAATTTTCTATTTATAGAATTGCGTGTCTCTATTTATATATATATATATATATATATATATATATATATATATATATATATATATATATATATATATATATAAATTAGTATATTTATATATAAAAATATATAGACAAAACTAATGTGACAAGACAGAATGATTAATTTTATAAAAAGGAAACGTTAAGATTTTGTTCAAACATTTCTTTGTTTGCTTTTAGAGAAAGTAAAAAGTCGAGCGTTGCCCCCGCCCGGCGGTGGCTCTTGTTGAGCCGTCTGTCTGTCCATCTAAACTGGCAAAGTTATATATTGAGTTCTACTTATAAAACTGGGTTCATAATCTCAAAAATACAAAGTATTAACATAAATTTGGCTTGGGTTTTTTCGGAGAAAAAATAGTTATTGTTACAGTCCGTAAAGTTTAACATTGACCATAATTTTATTATGTTCTTGATTTATTGTCTTCATACTTGGCCACAACAGCCATTGGGACAAGACCTTAAAAAAGACCAATTCATTCATAAATAACCTTGACCTTCTCAATTTTGCTTGTTTTTTGCTATTAGTGGCTATCACTTTATTTTTGAATGAATCGTCTTCAAACTTGACGCCATTTTCTTAGGATAAACCTTAAAGGTAATCAGGCACACCTTGACCTTCACTCATTAATGACCTTGACATTGAAGGTCAAATTATTGAAATTTTCTTTGTTTTCTTTTTTTTTTGCTGTAACTGGCTTTAATTTTATTATTAATGGAATGTTTGACTTGATATGTAGATGATAAGACCTTCATGTATGAAATTGACCTTTGCTCATTTGTGACCTTGACCATGAAGACTAAATTATTGAATTTTCACTAATTTTTGCTATCATTGACTGTAACTTCGTAATTAATAAATGGAATATCTTCATATTTGGACAAAACAACCCTTTGTAGAAAACCTTCTGAAAGGTTGAACTGACCTTGACCTCTTTATCTTGCGCTTTAAATGGCGACATTTGGGTTAAATTGTTATCTATGTACTATTTGATTTATACTTGGACAAAATAAGACTAACTACCACACAAACGTTTTGAATACTTTAAATTCGACCTTGACTTTTTATTGACCTTGATCGTCAAGGTCAAATGTATGAAATTCTATTGTTAATTCGTGTTACTGGCTACAACTTGTTATTAATGAATGGATAAGCTTCATATTTAGACACATCTTTTAGGTCAGAACTTACATGTTTATCAAACTTTAATTGTCCTTTACTCATGTATGACCTTGATCTTGAAGGTAAAATTATTGAACTTTCACTGATTTTGCTAGAATTGGCTGTAACTTTTAATTAATAGATTATCTTCATACTTGGACGGACAAGACTTTCTAAAAGGTTGAATTGACCTTGACCTTGAGCTTTAAATTGAATATTGGTTAAGTTGTCATAATTTTGATATTTATGTACTGAGTTGATTACATTACTTTTGACCAAACAGACATGTTAAATGATTTAGATATAACCTTGACATTTAAATGACATTGACCGTCAAGGTCAGATGATTGAATTTTGCCTATATTTTCTTAACTTTGTTATTTATTTATGGAAATGATTCTTCCTTGGACAAACACATCAAATGTGACTGAATAGACTTGTTAAAATAAAAAAAGGAAAAACATTTTATTTTCTTTATTCTTTTTTTCAAAGACTTGTTTAAACCGTTCATTTGGTTGCTTTTAGAAAAAGTAAAAAAGTCAAGCGTTGCCCCGCCCAGCAATGGCTCTTGATTTTCCAAGTTATTGCCCTTTTTAGCACTAAGAGAATCGATATAGAACCTAAACCGGCAAGTAGTTCTATTTGTATGGCTTCATAATTTACACACTTGCTTATCAATACAAAGTTCAGTTCATGTTTTACTGTGTCATCCATTTTCCAAGTTTATCCCCTTAACAATTTGAAAATAGGGCCTGATATAATGGTTAACCGAATCCAGCAAGTTGGATTCATCTTAAATTTCTCCTAATAAATTTATTTATTTATTAATACCTTCCTGTTTGATAGGTGGATATCTTTAATTGTCCACTTACTTTTGGTGGAGTTTACTGAAGTCAAGGTCACTCTTGTTATAAATCTGCTCTTACAACCTTTATATTTATAAACTGATAATCACTGGAGAAGCTTCTACCTTTCGGTGCAAATTTGCACAATTCGGTACAATTTTGTACGTGTACAACACCCTCACAACACGACAGTCTACCACTACAACTGCTAATGCTATCCGTACTGTTAAGCACAGACAACCATCTACGTGAACTTGGAATTCGCTGCCACCGTCCTTCCATTGGACCTTGTCTAACTTCGCGCCATGGGCAAGGGAGGATGCATTAGCATGCACGTTAGTTTATACTAATTTCTTTTAGTTCCTTTGTGTTGGAAGCTATAAGCTTATTGAAACACTCTCGAACCTGTTCCTGGAAACAACCAGTATTAAGCAAAGTTTAGGTTTGAACCCATGCGGTCAGTAATCCGTAGATTACTTGTCCATTAATCACTCGACCACACACGTTGTATGCACGTACGTTGAGATACTTGACACTAGAGAAGCGTTTCTCGAATGAAGTAATTGTGCAAAAATAGCTTTTTGTAAACTGCAGTCTTGGTAAGTGCTATACTGACGCATATGTAATAGGAGCAAACCAGTACCGACAGGGAAGTGTGATAGTTTAAACGCCCCTGGGGAATATTGCAAAAAATATATTGACTGGGTGATATGATATATCAAGATAACACCATGTGACATCAAAAAGGCTTTACATGTTTATAGTAAAGAGTTTACGGGAGGTATAGTAAAGTATATTTAATATACAAATATGGACTTTTTAGCTGGTGAATATTACGTGATGTGTACTGAAAACAATTAAAATTGGTTTAAACATATTTATCTAAGCTCGATTGCGAAACAAATTCTTGCAACTTATATAAATCTGTTGCGAGTCCGCTCCCTGGAACCAACCAGTACTTATGTCATATGAAGAAACATGGTCGTGACCCGAGTAGGACTCGAACCCATGATCTCAGGGTTGAGACTAAGGCGATGTTAATTTCTTGGTCAATATTCTCGGTCAATATTCATTTAAGCAATACATATCACATTTTATTCACCATAGCTAAAATGTCCATTTTTGTAACCATCATTCAAACGCTTTTTAATTAAATTTCTGCTCATTTGAACTCGAATCGTGCTTTTTTCTACAACAATGTCCTCAAAATAGATATCTATTCCCTAAACATTAATTCTGCTGATAAGTTTAACTTAACACGTATTCATATTGTATTTCATTAAATGTAGAACTGTATTTACATATGACGACAGAGATAAAGTTTCAATATAACCTATGAAATATCTTCTAAACCGGAGTTGAACGGAAACAACCGAAGACATGGTTGATATGCGCCATCATTGTATACACACCGGTCTCAAATATCGACCGGTGTACACAATGATGCGCCATTGTATACATGTATTGTCGACAAGGAAGTACTTAACGGCTTGGGAAATTGTATCTTTTACGGATAAAATCGTAATAAATTAAGAGTTTTCTTACGTTAAACAATGGATACGTAAGTCTATAGAGACAAAATTTATTGTATTGGACTTATACTAAGTATATGGTTACGTGGCAACACATTATTCAACCGTAAACAAACCGTTCTTAACAACCGCTATTAATAGCGCATAAAATGGAGGTTTCGGGAAAGAAGGAAAATAGACATCAAGTTCAAATGTCATCTTCGGGATCATCTCAAAGTTGTAAAGTATGTCAACCTTGTAAAGCTGACGGTGAGAGCTTAGAAGCCGATGGTTTCTGTCAGAACTGCCAGGAGTATCTTTGTAAAACGTGTATCAAATATCATCGCAAAGCAACCCTAAGTAAGCATCATACTATTTTGGATAAATCTAATATGCCGAAGAATGTTGAACCACAAACTGTCAAACAACTATGTACTTTGTCCTGTAATAAACACAAAATAGAGATAATCAAGTACTTCTGCAGTGATCATTATACAGTTGGGTGCGGTTATTGCATGGTAATTGACAACAAGGCATGCAAGGTTGAGTTTATCCCGGATATAGCTGACGAATTCACCAACGGAGAGGAATATAAAGCTATTCTTGATAGACTCGTGAAACTCCAAACAAAGGTTGACTCCAAGATAATGGCATCAGAGACAGGCAAGAAAGCATGTGCTGAAGAATTCGTTACCGCAGTTCAAGAAATCAAAAGATTCCGCAAGGAGATTGAAGATTATTTAAGCAAGATGGAACAAACAATACTCAAGGTATGTGAACGTCTCAGGAAAGAAAATGAAAATGCTATAACTTACAAAGAGGGTTTCCTGAAAACTATCAAGTCTGAACTAGATGACATTGCTGAACGTTTAAAGTCGCAGTCAAAGAAAACCACTGACCTGTTTGTTGAAGCAAAGCAAACAGAAACACGACTGAGTCAAATAGAGCAAGACATGAAGCAAAATGTAAATATGGTATTAACTGAGTATACGTTTGTACGTAACAGTGACTTGGACGCGATGGTTTCTGGAAGCTGCAATCTGGGAAAACTTTCTTCAAAGTCATCTTGTTACAACCATTCAATGGAATGCAGCATTGCTGAATTTGAACCAGTATTTGATAGTGAAATTAATGTTCATTCAAATGCTGACAAAGAGGGTGCCATAATTTCAAACATGCTTCTTTTATCACCAGATGCACTTTTATGCGTAGATAATGCAAACAAATCCGTTAAAGTGGTAGACCTAAAACAAAAATGTATTTCATCACAGATTCTCTTGAAATCTGGGCCTTGGAATATAACGTTCGTTGCCACCGACCAGATTGCAGTTACATTACCTGGTATTAAGAAGATTCATTTTCTCTCAGTTAAAGACAAGAAACTGACATCAATCAGAGAAATAAAAGTCAACGGAGAATGTAGAGGGATAGCTCACTACCAGAATACATTGGTGGTATCTTTTGTCGGACCACCAAAACTTCAAATTTTAACACTGGACGGAATGGTAACGCGCAATATTACAGCTGATACTTTAGTTTGGCCTGGTTATGTAGAAGTTAACGTGTGTGGAAGTAGTTTCTTTGTATCCGACAATGGAAAGTATTCGTTGATGAAATTTTCGTTTGATGGAAAATTACTTGCCACTTATCAGGACGAAAGTTTTAAGTATCCGAGGGCATTTACCGTTTGTGAGGATGGTTCAGTTCTTGTTTGTAGCAGTGGAAATAATACCTTACATCTAGTTTCGCAAGATTGCAGAAAAATCAAAATCTTGCCGATTGAGACAGATAGGCTTAATAACTTGCAGTCTGTCTGTTTTAATGAAGCAACTTCCACGTTGTATCTAAGTAATTATTATGGAAAGTCCATCCTGGTATACAAGCAGGCATGACTTTGTCAACCATTGTTCTGACTTTCGTTATTGCAAAGGCAAAGTCATTTATAAATATACTTACATACAACCATTATTATATGTGTTATATATATAGAATAAAATATTTAAGAAATGTACATTTGAATAAGAAATTACAACAAATTTATTGGAAAGTAAGTTATAGAAGCGTCAGAGAAAATTGCCCCAAGTTCTTGTTGGAAATAATACTGTGCACTTACATTAGAGGTTTGTTGGAAACTCATAAATCCGTCATGCATACTAAAAATACCATAACGTGTAGTCAGTGTAAAATAACATTTTTTTAAAATTATTTTTATTTGTAATCGGGATAATTGAAATGGTACGGCATCACATTTATTTACAAATGTTTATACTTTCAATTATAATTATTATTTATTAAATTTTTCAATTAAAACAACGATAATTTTATGAAACACTTAGAGTCGCATGCTTCCAGATGAGCCAAAATATTTCAAGAAAATCAAACGTGAGAAAAAATTACTATGATTTGAAGTAAAGTCAAATGATTTAATTTTAAAAGGAAAGAGTAGCATGTTATTTGCGAAATTTGCATTTTAAACTCTATAAAACTACAGGTAAACACAGTATGAATATAAAGTGCCATTAAAAAGCAATAACCAATTATTTTGACCAGTGAAAGAAAATTTAGCTTCCCAAACACAGTTTTTTGCATTCTATTTTGCATTCTATTGTTTCACATAATAAAATTTCATTAAGGATTTCAATAAATTTCTGCATAAAAATATCTAACCTAAAGATGAGCGTATTATATCTTTAATACAATATATTTACGTCTGTATTATGTTCACACACGATATGTTTTAATTCTTAAGAATGTGTTACAAATGTAACTAGCCCCTCGTGTATTTTATGTTTTATAATGAAATTCGACAACTTTTTTCACATATCCTACATGTATTATTTTTAATTTGTTCGTCGTTTCATCATTGTAAGGGAAGTCACCGCTTTTTACAGATTGACAGCATAAGTGAATCTTTAGTTATACCCCTTAACGCCCCGTACACAATAGACAATATTGTAAAGAAAAAGGATTATGTAATAAAATGTATACAAATGATTCGTATTTTCCTACCGATTATTGTTTCCTCCTAAATAATGCGTTAATTGTTACTAATTGGTTTCCCTTGTTTTTCAATTCCATTCAATTATCTTAGGTTTCATTGATCCGTATGCACATTTGCTTATCAAATCATAAACATGTTCAGCCTGCAAGAAACAAGGACAAAATATGAATTGATTAACCTTTCTATTTATTTTTTATTTTTGCTACAATATTAATATTGTCTGAATAAGGAAAATAAAATGACCATAGAACTATGAATCGTGTACATATTGCTTATAAATAATCATGCACACATTAACTATTATATTATGAAATGTCATGTTACTACTACTACTACTACTACTACAACAACAATAACAACATTTAATTTGTATAAATATAACACCAACATTATAGCCATATACATGAAAAAAGTAATTTGTTATACAAGTTCAAATACAAAAAAATAAGTAGTACGGGAAGCTAGTTAACTTTATACATGCACTATTTTAATGACACATGTCACTGTGTACATTTTATTTATTCCTTATCCGTAAACTATATTAATTGTATTGTTGATTTAGACACTACCTGTATGTTGTACTGTTTGACACATTTTTCGGATCAGATTAACATAATAACAAAATATCAGTCCTGCAGATTACAATGCAAAGCGACTGTCCGACCATAAATTGTCTAAATCTTAATTCATTTGAAACAGACATTATATTATTCTGGCGTGGAGGTGGACATTTGAGAAATAAAAAATCAACACGTCTTACGTTGTTTAAATCACATTTCACTAAATTCTTAAAGGCACATTATGCCTCAGAAACTAATATTGTTTTCTTTTTTAAGAAAGGGCAAGCAGGAGATTCATAACATTTAAAAAATGGTTTAGATGCTTATCACTTGATGAAAGGAGCGCTGATTGTAAAATTATTCGTCATAAAAGTAGCAAAATGTAAACGAAATAGTATTTTGACTTCTATACAAAATACCCTATTAAATCAATATAACTGTACTAACTATCGATAAGCAACAAAAGCAAAAGATGATAAAGAGAAATAACCAATGAGAATTTTTTAGAAACTTTAACAAGACGTCAAAATAAAAAGTTTTCGGGAAAAATCAAAAACATTTCTTTTCTGGGGCATATTGGGCCTTTAAAGATAATATACTTGTATTGTATTATAAGGTTATTATACATTGTTGAGATTGAGAGGCGCTAGGCGAGTCTGATACTGATCTTATTTCTGATACATATAGTTTAAGACGTTTTTTTGTTTTGTTTAGAAACCTTAGCATTGACTGTAAGACTGTACATACAACCTCCTATCACATACTTTACACTTGCCATATCTTTTGCAAAAGCGGTTGGTTAAGTAAAACATTCAAACAGTTTCAAAATTATGTTTTTCACTGCATGGAATTATTTTTTTAAATAATCAATCATTTAATGCAACTGTTGAAACGTCATTATAACCGATTTGCAAGCGTGATGTTAAAATCAGATTTGCCAAGAGCCAGCAGTAGAAGAGTCACGAGAGGAAACAAGGATAATATTGTACGTGTACAACACCCTTGCGACACCCTCGCAACCAACAAAAGTTACCAACAGGCTACCACTGCTGTCGGTGCCGCTAATCACAGAAATTTCGGAACCAATTCTGTTAACTTAGAATCCGCAGCCGCCGTTCTTTCATCGGACCTTGTCTGTCTTACTCAACGCCATCGACAAGAGACGATTCGTTAGGGACATTAGCATGCACGTTAATTAATACTAATTTATTTTAATTCAATTGAGTTGTAAGCTATAAGCTTATTGAAACACCCCCTCGAATCCGTTACTGGGATCAACCTTTACTAAGCAATGAGTGTAAAGTTTCTTGCTCTTGCCCCTGACGGTCGAGGTTTGAACCCATGCGGTCATTAATCCGTAGATTACTAGTCCGACGCGTTAACTACTCGGCCACGCACGTTGCATGCACGTTGAGATATTTGACAATAGAGAAGCGTTTCTCAAATAAATTATTTCTGCAGAAAATAGGGAGTTGAAAGTAAACTGCCGTCTTCGTGAGTGCTATACTGACACATATGAAATTACTGACGGGAAGTGTTATAGTTTAAGGTTGATTCCACACCGATAGATATTTGGACATTTTCGTAATTAATGGAAACCTTAACGCACGAAGATACAATTCACTTTCAGCAGCCAGTTTATATTCCTTAAGTAGCTCAAGAAAATACGGCTTACTTCAGACAAAACGGAATCACCTTGCTGCCATGTCAAACTCATACTGATATGCTCCCGTTTAAGCATCTCTTAGACATGTTGGATAGAGCCGTGCAACATAGACCCATACAGCCCAGAAACATACAGAAACTGACTGCTCCTAGATCACAGTCAATGTGAAATTATGGATCTTCGCCTTTGTTGCAATAGCTGTATCATGTTTTACGGTTTTGATTTATACTACGAAAAAAACTTGTTACAAAACTGACATGCTGTATTGTTAATGTTTAACATTAACCTCTAAGTGGCCTTGACCGTTATGATTTTGTTTAAATAGAAATAACTTTGTTATTTTTATAATTGATAGATTTGATTCATACTGGGACCAAACAACACATATGACAACACCAGCACTTTAAGTATGACTTTATCTGTAAACGACCGTGACTATTGAGGTAAAATTTGAAATTTAATTAATATGCTGTGTATAAGATAATGGTATTTTCTTGAAGTGTTCTTTACCTCCAGTGGTTGACTTTAGAAAAAAAAGAAATTGTCGTGCTTGGTCCCAGCCTGATGATGGCTCTTATTTCTTTTCACCCCTTTCAGTATTCCAAACCAGACACATAAACTTTACCCTAGTGAAATTAACAAAACCATTCAACTCAATAACAAACACAGGGAGAGAGCTGGTTTCGGACCATTTGAGTTGAATATGTGTTCATTAACAATTTGTTATTGTATTTATTATTTCTATTTCAAAGTCGCTAAACTGTCGTCTGTTTATTGTCTGCATATTGATGGTATATGAATATTGGCGGGAAAATGCTCGATTTCTCGTACGTACTGAGTATGTGTTTTAGGCCATTCAATACTTTACAATTGGTACACATTAGGCTATATATATAGTAAAGAGTTTACGTGAGGTATAATAAAGTATGATAATGCACGTTTTATCGTTTCAATGCTTCATAATTATACTTCTGCTTATCTTAACTCAAACACAACAATGTACTGAGAATTGATACATTAATTCTGCTCTCCATGCCTATCTTAATACATATTGTATTTCATTTTGAGCTACATGTGTACTACAAAGATAAACATTCAAGATTACCTACAAGAAAAGCATTGATGCAAAGCATCAAAGGGCGTCCAAGCAAGAAATGCAGCAGGTGCAGATGAACTAGTAGATATATGATGATAAACTGTTCAATGGTTCATTGGTTTTTACCAGAATTGTATATCACTTATGAATGAACGAACGAAAGACATTGTTCATTATTTATAAATTTGATTGGCATGCTAGAAATTAGAATATTACTTGTTATTTCTTTATGATCGTGATTATTAATAGCAACGGATATACATGTATACAATCATTTATAATCCATATGAGTAACGCATGATCAACACCACACTTGTGTAATTGTCCCTTATTATGTTATCGCTATTAGCGAAGACCCCCTCTTAAAGTATCTGTTCACACTTAGTAACAATATGACACTTGTTATATTACCATGTTGAGCATAAATGTTTATTATACACTAATTGTAATATCTTTTTTAATAAAAAAAATACAGATTTTATGAATATTGTTTTCTTTTCTGTGTTTTATGCGCTATTTTAATACTGAGTTTTTACGTTTACTATTATTTTAAGAATTCAATTGTCATAATGACCGACGATTATAAGTCAAAACTTAACTGGAAAAAGTCAGTAAATTATGGTTAATCTTTCAATATATAATATTGTTTATTCTTAAACCATATACATGTACATTTGTATTTTTCTTT